GCAGACATTAAAAACAACTCTAAACTATCCTCATATGCTACCTACAAATCAGTTTTAAATGTCGAACACTATCTAACTCATATCAACTTAAGAATATACCGTCAAGCTTTGTCAAGACTTAGATGCGGATGCCACAATTTAAGGATTGAACTTGGACGAAGAATCGGAATAGATGTAGAAAGCAGATTATGTACACACTGCAGCCGCTACGGAATAGATGTAGTTGAAAATGAATTTCATTTCTTACTTGTATGCAAAGCTTTTTCAAATTTACGAAAATCATATATTCACCCTGCATACCATGAACATCCCTCTGTTGCAGCATTTGTCAATCTTATCAATTCCACATGTCCTCAAACATTGCTAAATCTAAGTAAGTATGTATTCTTAGCATTTAAACTTTACCCATCGGTACACCAATAATGTTATTATCGTGCATTGTGTATTACTGTAGTACGTTGTGAAATTTATTCATCGTTTATATATTGATGTATAACAAATATGTGTACATATATGCCGTTAAATATGTGCCGTTAATGTACGTCCTATGGGCCTGTGGCCTTTGACTTGAATGAATAAACAAACAAAGACTTAACGAGTGTATGAGTGATTAACTATACACCATCAATTTGGCTTTCCGCATTTGTATATTTATTATGAACTGAACCACGACCTTTCTTTCTTTAAAGACCCGCTGAGGTCCGGGTGAGAATGAGCCTTCAGCAACCCATGCTTGTCGTAAGAAGCGACTAACCGAATCGGGTGGTCAGGCTCGCTGACTTGGTTGGCACATGTCATCGGTTCCCAATTGCGCAGGTCGATGCTCATGCTGTTGATCACTGGATTGTCTGTTCAAGACTCGATTATTTACAGACCGCCGCCATATAGCTGGAATATTGCTGAGCGCGGCGTAAACCTGAACTCAGTCACTCACTCTTTCTTTAAACACTTGTCTCCCCGCCTCCCCCACAGTTGACAATAATTACCTTATAACAATAACACAAATGAATAAGGAAGGGGAATAGTATTGATAATGTGGGAACTATTTCAGCCTTTGGTGTCCAGTGATAATGTATGCCCTTTCTCGCTGGCATCATGCAACAGAGACTCATTTAGTAAAACTCAGCAGTTGATTGCTGAGAAATGCTGCATTACTCTTCTTCTTACTTCTTTACTTCTCTTACTTCTTCTTTACTCAAAATTTAAATCTTAAAGACAATACCATGTACCGTAACGTTCTAAAGTGGTAACGTTGAAAAGTGTATTCCTAAATTGTATTCCCAGTTTTGACAATTGACATTCCGCTCTTTCGTTTGTTTAAGACAAAAAGACAAAATCAATAATAATATGACTTCATATTGTACAAACATTACCAAACCCATGAACTTGGCAGTTAAATCAGTGTCTCAAAAATCAGAAAAACTTAATCTATTTTAATATGTGTGTGTGTCTATGTATGTCATTTACATATTATACAAAAAGGTGATAGTTGGTGTGTGTGGTAAGGTCACCATAGAGCCTGTCACTGTTTGAAGGCAGGTATTGAGTGTATGGGCAGGTGTCACTCAAGCTTACCCTCTACAAACAAGAGAACATATATTGTATGTACTACACTGTATATTATGTATGTAACCCCCAAAGAAATCAAACAAATAAGAACCGGATTAGACTGCGTCACCTTTAAATTCATGCAGTTTACTTGCTGCTGTATGTATCATGTTTATAATGTCACCATTTGTTACTCGCTGTTTTAAACCGACCGAAACATGATATTTTGAACATATCTTGGAGATGTGTATCTTTGACTACGTGATCCACTTGCTCGACTCTGCTATACTCTGCCGGGGATATTATAGTCTAATCTAATCTCTTAGTCCTGGAATCCCGGAATCCAGAATCTCAAATTACAAAGTAGTTGAGCTCTTTTTACCGAAGACCCATCCCGTTGTTTGTCGACGTCTTTGCGTCTGGCTAATGTTCTTCGAGAAAGGTTTACTAATGAGTTGTATTTAATTACATTATAATTTTTACGTCAATATTTCCTTTATAATAAGAGGTAAACTTTTAAAACCTTCACTTTCTTCCCGCATCTATCTGAATTGTGACAAAAATATCGGCAATGAAAAAGTGCAATAAATGATTTATTAACTACGCATAAGAAATAGCAGGGCTTTACATCAAGACAAAGAGTCACAGTTATGTGTATCTAAGTTGCATTTACAGGGCTGAAGAGATCTTGATTCTAACATGGTCCGTGGCTGCAGACCTTCAAGGAGACATCAAAATGGGTGGTGGCTGGACAGGCCATGTCGTACTTGATGCCGTTGGAGCACATGTAGAATTTGGTGCAGTCAGTCTCGTGGGCGATCATGACGACACCGCTGTCGGGACAGGACTCGGCCGTCTTGGGAGCTGCTGTGGTGGCAGCGTGTTTGCAGACAGATGTCTCGGAGTCATACACGGTACCTTCTGGACACTGGTGGCGGTGAGCCACGCCATTGCTGCACTGGTAGAAGCGCTTCTCATTGGTGTCATGAGCATGGTAGGTGGCCTCATCTTCCGGACAAAGATCTGCAAGAAATCGAACAGTTATATAAGGAAACAATTATCAAACACGTTAGTGCTTAGAAAACTATTAGTTTTCATATCTCTGAAAAACCACCAAACTCTTCAGATTTGGACTGTTAATCTCTCCCACTTAGGGAACAGAGTGCACCATCAGCGGAGACTGACACGATCAAGGGAGGCCATACTCCGCATTTGGAAAACACTGATCAAACGTGTTAGTGCTTAGAAAACAATTAGGTTTCATATTCCTTAAATGCGTCTGTACTCCTCAGCGTTGAACTGTTAATCTCAGCGTTGAACTGTTAATCTCTCCTAATTAAGGAACAGCGTGAACGATCAGCGAATCCTGACACAACAAATGGAGGCTACTCTGGACATTGAACTTCCATATCTGGTAGTTAGTTAGGGGAGATGGTTAGTTAGGGGAGTGTGAGCCAATTTGAATCCAGTTATTCCTCTGTTGGTGAAGTTACCTCCACACTCCTCAGTGTTACACCTGATGGTCTGGTTCTGGTAGCTCTCTCCGTCACAGTTGGCACCACCGTAGGCCGGGCTTGGGTTGGTACAGGTCCTGGATCGGTCCTGGTCCTTCTTTCCTCCACCACACAGGACACTGCACTCGTCCATATCCTGCCACTCTTCCCAGTCAGTCCAGCCACCGTCAACTAAACAAGGGCATAAATATGTATATGCATACGCTTTTCCCTGAATTCTTGTCTGGTAATACAGTTTATGCTGAAATATTCAGAGTACTGAAATGTGACAATCCAAATTAGAAACAGATAATAGGTTTATAGATAGAGGTACAGATATTGTACACATGAAGCATGTTAGAAGTGAACAATGTTGCACGCTGTTACTGCGTGTCTTTAATTATATGTTGGGCGGTGGGGTAGCCTAGTGGTTAGAGCTTTCGCTTTCCCCCCATGGGTACAATGTGTGAAGCCCATTTCTGGTGTCCCCCGCCGTGATAGTGCAGGAATATTGCTAAAGGCGGCGAAAACTAAACTCACTCACTCAACAGGGTCCGTAAGTCTCGCCACTTATGACTTTACTAGACCGGATCATGTGTACAACCATGCTTAACTGTCATAGCTTAGACAGTAGTAACAGATGGCTAATCTGGGGATGGTTAGATCGAAAATTTGTTATTCCTGCAAGGATTATTTGTCCCTTATTATCAAGTGACAACCATGAGACCATTCGAAAAGGTATGAAACGCTTCTTTGATGGGCATTATGAAACGCTGTTTGTCGCCGGAAGTACAAAATAACGCATGGTCTCGCGAAGTGCGGTGACCTACTTACGGACCCTATTGCATATATATGCTAAATTAACATAGCTACTTCCGCTACTCACTTGGGCAGGGATGAGTGTTACAGTCCCTCTCAGATCTGTCCCTGGTATCACCGTCACAGTCCCGACCTCCGTGGGCTGGGGCAGGGTTGGTGCACGTCCTGTCTCTGGTCCTGAACTGAGATCCTCCTCCACATGTAGCTGTGCACGTACTGTACACTGTCCACGCGCTGTAGTCACTCCATCCACCATCAACTGTAACAAACCATAGACAACTATAAAATCTGTGTGATGCATGTGGTGATTTGTCGGTCACATACGGAGGATTTTGCCGTTCCAGGTGGTTGAGGAGGAGGTACCCGTGCTTGGTCTTGTCCTGTAACTGTGGTAAATTTATTCAACACCAGCTTTAGAAAATAACTTGTAAATGAATGTACAGTGACTGAGTGAGTGAGTTAGCTTTGTTTTACGCCGCTTTATCACTGCGGGGAACACCAGAAAGGCGCTTCATACATTGTACCCATGTGGGGAATCGAATCCGGGTCTTCGACGTGACGCTTTAACCACTAGGCTACCCCACGGCGGGGGACTCCAAAAATGTAGACTGTACAGAGTAACGCTTGATATTATAATTGTGTTGTCTGTTTGTTGTTTAACTCTGTACTCAGCAATATTCAAGTTATGTGACGGCGGTCTGTAAATAATCGAGTCTGGACCAAACAGTCCACAGATTAACGTCATCAGCATGAGCGAGTCTTACCACCCGATCCCGTTAGTCGCCTCTCATGACAAACTTGGGTTGCTGAAGACCAATCTTTCTCCCGATCTTCACGGGTCCATTGCGGTTTTGACATCTTTGTGTATACATATTGTCGATTGTACGCCAGGGTAGCCTAGTGGTTACAGCGATCGCTCGTGGTGCCGAAGACAAGGGGTCGATTCCCCACATGTGTACAATGTGTGAAACCTATTCACACATTGTGCCCCCGTGATCATATTTGAATATTGCTAAAAGCGGCGTAAAACTACACTCACTCACACTGATTTATGTATTATTAATGGATATTACTGTCACAATATGGCTCAAAAATTGCCTATATGACTTTGAATTTTACATCACACACTCACGCACTTACTTGGACATGGGTGGGTGTTGCAGTCTCTGCTGTAGGTGTCAGCTGCCTCCCCTACACACTGACTGCCGCCATATGCTGGGCTTGGGTTTGTGCATGACCTTGTTCTGGATCGTGATTGGCTGCCTCCTCCACAACTCACTGAGCATGCGCTGTAGGGTGTCCACATACTGTAGACGCTCCAGCCTCCGTCAACTATCAACAATAAAATTGGGTAAAGGATTTTCGCGGAGATCTATATTTGTCCTCAGTTTTGCCTATTCATTGACCAAAAGATCTTTATTACTGTCTCAAAGAAGAAGTCAATCGTAGATGGAGGACAGATTAGAAAACACTGAAACACTGTTAGTCTCTACTCCATATCCCTCCACATTAATATATTTCCAGGTCAAACAGGACTACGTCTGAATATCCGGAAGGCGGAGTTTCCGTACCTACGGGGTTATCACAATGTCCCATGCTGGGACCTTCTGATCCACAGGTGCTGATTCAGGATTTTGGATGCACATAAATCATGAAGTCCAAAGGGAAATTTGTTTTCGGGGTAGAGGGGGAAGGGACGCAAACACCCCCTCACCCCCATCCCCTCTCTGGACCCGTCCCTGAGCCTTGAGGTTACCACTTCCAGCAAGTTGACGTGGCAAGGATGTCATCTGTGGTATGGCACTGCTCCCTGTTATCCCCATATTAGAGTTTGTGTAGTCACTTTCCCCACCGATAACTCATATATCCGGAGCTTTTCTTTTCTCTGTTACAATATAGTGACATGAGATGCCACACATGGGCTTCAGGTGTGGTATTAGTCTGCCCTACAGTCCCTGAACCAAACTATTTTCCATGCGCCCGAACTGTGATGCAAAGGTTCCAAAAAGAGCAAGTCTAGTCTCCCACGCCATTTTGGATCCATTAATAGAGATTTTCAGGGACTAAGCGTATGTCTGGCGTGGCATGTGTTACACTTGACCATGTGTGTGCGCGTGCGTGTGTGTGTAATAAGTAAATGTACTGACTGTAAAAGAGCTGATTTTTTACGTTGCTGTGAGCTACATTTTAGCTATACCAAAACCTTTTCAACATTGGGAGAGGTAGAGTTCTGAGAAACTAATTCATAATAGTCAGGGTAAAACTGGCTTTTTCAGTGCGCTGATGTCAGTGTTGTAGCTGCTCCACGCACCATGGAATTGTCGATACATGTAAATACACAACATAATCGCTAGGCAGATCCCCTTAGCCTTGAATGAGTGAGTGAGTGAGTGAGATGTTTAAATTGTTCCAGATCTGTACTCACTTGGACAGTTGTGTGTGTTGCAGCTGGTGGTCTGTGTAGCGCGCTCTGAGCCAGAACATCTGGCCCCAAGATAAGCAGGACTCGGATTGGTGCACGAGCGTGTACGAAATCTCGACATGGTTCCTCCTCCACATGTTTTTGTGCACGTGCTGTATGCTGACCATGAGCCATAGCCTGACCATCCACCGTTCACTGCACATACAGAAAAACGACATGGAATATATACATTGTTGAACTGTTTCCTTTCTTACTGCATATACTAAAAAATGTGTTTAGACAAATTAATGTATCACTTTTACTGCATATACACAAAAACGAAATGGAATATATACATTCAATTGTTTCTTTTCTTACTGCATATACACAAAAACGGAATGGAATAATGTATAAATCCGATTGTAAGATTGTTGCAAATTTTTCAGACACGCTCAGCTGTTATATACCTAAAATCGTTGTGAAGAGAGTTATTTTAGTAAACTTTTCAGGTGTTTTTAATTACTTTCGAAGTTTACTTTAACCCCTATGAAGCCGTTTGTTGTTTAAATATTATTATAAGGGGTAATGCTATTTTTGAGGGCATTATCATTTGCAGAAGCCCGAGGTCTTCCATTAACTGCCCGACGAAGGAGGGCAGTTGATAAAGACCGAGGGCTTCTGCAAATGATAATGCCCTCAAAAATAGCATTACCGTTATTATTGCTAAAATACATGGAATTTGTGTTGAAAAGAAAAAGGAAACAATGAAGGAATTTGACTGTACGTTTACCCAAATCAACTTCTGACGGGCTTGACTGCCCGAATGCAATTACGTCATCGAACAATTCAAGTGACGTCACAACAGAAAGTGACGATATTCGACCTTGGCCTTTGACAAGACCATAGCCTGCAACATGTCAAGCTATGACAGTGTTCGGTTTTGGTCCATCAACAGTCTTAATAGTGCAATTGTTAAGGTTAGCACCAACAAGAAAGCCAATATTACCGCTATTTAAAGCGGGAATTTGGGTTGCTTTGACTTGTTTGACCCAGAATATCTGCCAGTCGAAAGCCACTAATGTCGAACTATGACGTCACTTGACAACAGAACTGATAGTGGCCCGTCGTTAAGGTTGAGCGGTCCAATATCATTTGCAGCGGACCGCAAATTTCTGATAACAGGAGGGCCGTTTCATGATAATTCCATGTATTTTAGCTATAAATTAAGTTTAATTGTCCCCTACGATCTTGCGGCGGTGAAGAAAGAGTTTAGATTGGTTACATAATGGTGTTTTGGTGATGCATGCTGTATTGCCCTCCAAACATCCCGTCCAACTTTCGTCCGATAATGACTGACTGACTGACTGACTGAGTTTAGTTTTACGTCGCTTTTAGCAATATTCCAGCAATATCAGGGCGGGGAACACCAGAAATGGGCTTCACACATTGTGCCCATGTGGGGAATCGAACCCGGGTCTTCGGCGTGACGAGCCAACGCTTTAACAACTAGGCTACCCCACCGCCCCCGCCCGATAATGAAGCATCAATCATATGCATTTATCAATGTTTTCGTTCTTGTTCTGTCAACATCACTGTACCAGAGTCTAGAACATGTCACCGTTTTCTCAGACTAAAGTAAAGTGGTACAGGTACAGGTACAAACGCCCAAAATGGTCCGACATTATAAGCATATTCTTTCTTAACTTTTAAAATTCTCTTCATTTCAATTATTTTTTTACATTTTGGTAAAATCGATTTGTTTTGTTACTTTGGTTATATTTTTGTAATTTCGATTACTTTCTCATTGCGAGTATTTACACAAATCTCGTTATTACAAATATTCTCTCGAAAATGTGAGTTTTACTTTGTTTATCTTTTCGTAATTTCAAATATTATATTACGATTAATTTACGAGACATAAAATGAACGAAATTGCAAAAACATTATCGATGTAACACATGAAACCCCGAAACTTATAAGTCAACATATAATTAAATTAACCAGAAATTTCGATCTAAAACATTTGATACCAAAGTGGCACCGTTCGGCTTCGAACTCAGTTTGTGAATTGGCAAGCTGCGTGTTATGAAACAACGACGCGTTATGAAACAACGACGTATTATGAAACCCCGCAGTGTGGGCCGTGGCATATGGAGTACGTTCAGTCAATGTTTGTTCCGTCAGTGTACGTTACAGGCCTTTGCCGGATGACTTGAATATTGAGGATTGTCGCGTTATACAGCGACGCTTATTTGCATTAAAAAATAACGAAAGTAAAAAATATGTTTGTCTTCCAGTTTATAAAACATATCTGCATATATCTGATACTGGATAGGTTTAACCTTTGACGGGATAGTTTACGTCGCTGGTAAACGAGAGGAACCTTGGTAAACATTGTGTGTTCAAAGAAATGGCTCACTGGGATTCGACAACATGGGTGCAATCTGAGGGGTCCATTCTTAGCGTCTACCAACTTTATTACTACCAACTGTATTCATTATGAAAGACCACGATAATAGCTGCGTTAATAGTCGCTCACACGCTCACTCTCTCATTCATTCTCCCACCCTTTTGCTCACTCACTCATTCAGTCACCCATCCTATCACCCACTCACTAACCCACCCATTCGTTCACTCACACACTCACTCACTCACTCACACACACTCACACACTCACTAACTTGCCCATTCGGTCACTCACTCACTCACTCACTCATTAAATTCCCTAGGTGTCTCACCTGGCCGCATTTTATAACACGTCCGTGGAGAAGACCTGAAACCAATAAGTAACATACATTGATGTCTGGAGCAGGGAGAAGGACTAAAAGAAGTTGGTATATCAGTAAACCATCGTATCGAGTATCGTCAGCAGTATCACACATGAGGCGATGACGCGGTACCTAACGCCCAGCATGAAGGGGCAGTGGGGTAGTCGAGCGGTTAAAGCGTTCACTCGTCACGCCCATGGCCCGGGTTCGATTCTGCACAATGTGTGAAGCCCATTTCTGGTATTGCCCCGCCGTGATATTGCTGGAATATTGCTAAAACCGGCGTAAAACCCAACACATCCACTCACTTGCAACACCCAGCATGCACAACTCATGTCCGACAATGGGTATATTTGAATACACAAGAGGCCAACTAAGTGTTAAAACTGCTACAAATTTGCTTCCAGGCTGATTCTTTGCACAGCTAGTGGTTAAAGCGATCGTCAAGTCGAAGACCCGGGTTCGATTCCTCACATGGACACAATGTATGAAGCCGTAATATTGCTGGAATGCTAAAAGCGGCGTAGAACCATATTCATTCACTCACTCATTCATATCTGTAAACATTACGCTGAACCTACCTGTATCTCGCACAGCGCTGCCATCCAAACCACCCACAGCTGGTTGTGTAGCGAGTTGCCTGTGTCCCACACGAATACGCAATCCTGAAACATCAATGTATGGTTTCGAGAGTTGTGACGAAAATAGAATGCTAAAGAGTGTGTTTGAACACTGATAAAACTATGACAACGATGCCATTTAACTTTAAGTTTTATCTGCTTATAGACAAATCCGAATTCTCGGGGTTTTATATGTGTTAGGCACACATGCATATTTGAGATAATCTGTAACACGAAAACCTGAAAATGAGTATTTGTCCACGCCTTGTAATGATGAAGGTTTAGTTGGCAGTCAATTAGTGGCTGGCTGCTTAAACGGTGACTCAACCAATGCCAAAAGCAAAGTTTGATTTAAAAGGGCTGTATTTGTGATTATACTATCACTGACAGAGAACGTTACAGTTGCCAAAATAACTACAAGGCACACGAATTTATGGATAATAACAACCCTTATATTCTTAATTCGCATTATACATAAAAGGTAATGCTTTTATGTTCTTCAAAATGCCTATCAAATACTTAAATGAATCTCTTCACCATGAATTAACTGTTCATTTTGTTCACAGGCCACCCTGATTCCGACATTCATGTCAGCCCCTAAATCCACCAGTAGTCTAAATCACACACTAGTGATGTGGATGGATAAGTCATTCAACCTTTATCAACTACAAATGTATTTTTTTCAGATATATATCGACATATAATCTTGATAAGATAAGGCAAGGATATGCTAATTGTAATAGTAAATTGTGTACGCTGGTCGCATAAACAAGTTAACTTTCGATGTCCCTTCAGAGCAAGTTGTAATTGTAAGATGTTTGAGTTTGGTTTGTTTTACATTTAATTTGCTATTTAATTTTTAAAATTTAAAACTTCCAATATAAAAGAACATTTATCTATTTAAAAACACGTTTTTTTAAACAGTTCTATTTCTTTTTAAAAAGTAAAAAATTATATGAGTATTAGCGGTATTAAAAAGATCCTTCATTGTTTTTACACTGAAGTATTTATCCCCTGATAATGAGCCTGGGTTTGTTAGTATCATATCCGTACTCAAGGTGTTGACGACCAGGGCCTCCTTTCACAAAGCACCAAGGTGATCGTAAGTCACTAAGGTAACCTTAGTGCAATGTTAAAGAATGAGAGTTAAGGTTAACCTTAGTAAAGGTTGCTTCGTGAAAGGAGCCCCAGATCGACATCCTGAATTGCTTCTGACACTATAAGCTGACATGATGTGATGTAAGTGAAATACCGTTATGTGAAAAACCGAAAAAAAGCAAACAAAAGCAAAGACACTACTACAAAAATGGGAGTCGACTCACTTTTCCGACGATGCAGATGGAAGCACAACGACCACTGCAACAACAGCGAGGACGACAAGAGTAAGACCTTGCATTTTGCCTGATCTTGTGTGATGACAAAACAGGGGGCAACAGCACGGACTTTATATACCCTGGCACAACCCCTCTGTGAAGTAAGACTATTACAGGTAGGCGGGTAACTGTTATCTATGAAATATGAGCAATAGTCGTTAGGTAAACATTATCATATGTGTCTCTCAAGCTTATTTAAAGAAGTGACATCAAAGCCAACATTCATGACAATGAATATTCTCAGGTAAAACGTCATTAACACCTGCTATAATGTCCTGCCTTTTCGAGTGTATTAATAGTCAATTTTGCTGCTATTAGTTGATTTTCTAAGACGTTTTGATCTGTTGAAATGACAACCTGATATGACACGAAAGAGTAATTTGTGTTCCTCATGTACATTTTCTGCAGTATTTGTTGTCGAATATATGACAATGGATTTGAACATGAACAGTTAAAGTGCCATAAGTGTTATGTAAGGCATATACAGGCATATCTTGTTTCCAAGTTATATGTTCGTGTGATGCTAACGTCAATATCCCAAATATGGTGTGTGGTGAATCATAAAACCGTGTGTGTACACTATTGTCCTGAATGACTGCACAACACCTTCTGATTGAACCAGTAGTGTAACCTAGTAGCTAAAGCGTCCGCTTGTCACGCCGACATCCCGAGTTCGATTCCCCACATGGGTGCAATTTTCAGATTTCTGGTGACCTCCGCAGTGATATTTTTGGAATGTTGGTAAAAACGTCGCCAAAATTTACTCACTCACTCATTGAACCGTTCTTCCAGCTTATCCCACAGATGGTCATTTGGGTTACAATCCTTGATTTTGGTCAGCTCAAGTAGTGTTGCGAGGAGCAATATAGTGCTGAAAAAGTGCACCGGGCCGTGACGCTTGTGGACAATGTCATAGCAACACATATCTGTTCTTAAGTGTGTGTGTGTGTGTGTGTGTGTGTGTGCGTGCGTGCGCAAATCAGTAAGCACGTATAACGTTTCGTATTTTAAAGGATTAGTTGTACCGTGTGTATTGTAAACTAAGCGTGTACATGTACAACTAATTCTTCGAATACACGAATAATGGTGACATATTGCCGATGTGACTATTAATCACAACTCATTCATTCACTCGCGTATACTTTACCCATATGAGGAATCGAACCGCTCTCTCTCTCTCTCTCTCTCTCTCTCTCTCTCTCTCTCTCTCTCTCTCTCTCTCTCTCACTCTCTCTCTCTCTCTCTCTCTCTCTCTCTCTCTCTCTCTCTCTCTCTCTCTCTCTCTCTCTCTCTCTCTCTCTCTCTCTCTCTCTCTCTCTCTCTCTCTCTCTCTCTCTCTCTCTCTCTCTCTCTCTCTCTCTCTCTCTCTCTCTCTCTCTCTCTCTCTCTCTCTCTCTCTCTCATGGAATTCTTACTCACTAGGTTACCTCCCCAATCCGTGGATGCGCTAAATGCCACTGTTTGCATAAAAGACATCTTGTGTGATTGGGAATATACGCAAATAAAGCCTCTCTGACATGATAAACCTTCAAACTAAGCCTGCTATGACATGTGTAAATATACGGCATATTTTGGTGTGTAGAAAGTGGGGATTACTTTCATAAGTCTGGAACTTGAGATCATATACTCCTCTTCAATGTCTGTTTTGACAGTTTGGCTATTGGTTTTTCATACTGGTTTGTTTTCGATACCGTCGCGTTGGTCAAAGATCGTTAAGCTTAGTAAGTGCAAGCGGCAGTGCGGTGTGTTTGAATGGGGTCACTATGTTTACGTCGGGTAGTGTCACCGGGTACCAGTGTATTGTGTAATATGATTCCTGGAGGGGTATCAGAGGGTGTTCATTCTATCAAGGTCGTATCTGAGCGCCTTGTTGCTTATACTTGGCGACTGAGTTGTAGCAATTGAATTAGTCATTTTCGTATATTAGTAGTCAGAATAGTCGAAGTAACTGTAATTATTGACTGCAGTCGAAGAAGACATGGTGGTAGCTGCAGCAGCAGCAGCAGCAGTAGTAGTAGTAGTAGTAGTAGTAGTAGTAGTAGTAGTGGTAGTAGTAGTAGTAGACAAGTCTTATGGATAACGACTTCTATATTCGTTTACCTCGACGTTTCTGGGCTAGATCTTTCCCTTCTTCAAATGGGTAATGTAGTAGTAGTAGTGGTGGTGGTGGTGGTGGTGGTGGTGGTGGAATTGGGTTTAACGTTGTGCTTGAGAATATTTCGCTCATATGACGACGTGCATGCGTGTGTATATGTATGTGCGGCTGCTTGTACTAGCCCAGACTGAAGCTGGTGTTATAGTGCTAGCCCACTGTGATACCACGCCGCAGTGAAGCATGACTACCCCACTCAGACACATTATAGTGACTCCGAGACGACCAGTCCTTGTTGTACCCATTAACGCCGAGCGCCAGGCAGGGACCAACAAGTACCATATTTTAACGTCTTTTGGTATGACGCGGTCGGGGATCGAACCCGCGACCTTCCGCTCTCCGGGCGGACGCTCTAACCACTACACCACGGAGGCGGTCAGTAGTAGTAGTAGTAGTAGTAGTAGTAGTAGTAGTAGTAGTAGTAGTAGTAGTAGTAGTAGTAGTAGTAGTATAGTAGTAGTAGTAGTTTGTTGTTGTTGTTGGTGGTGGTGGTTGTGCCGATGGTGGTGGCGGTGGTGGTTATTTTAAGGGTGTATAGGATGTGTAGTACATGTAGTCGTGGTTTAGATGGTAATGCGGAATAGGTGACGTTGCTTTGAACACTGCTCAAATATATTGTTGGATGTCCGGTTAGTGTGAGAGTAATATATATACTCTCCCAAAAGAAACGCATCACAAAAATAGCAATTTCATGTAGCAATGAATTAAAACGTGATTCATTTTACAAAAGGTTTTGCTCTGTTTATGAGTCCTATGGTGTTTATGTTTTGAAACATGACAACAAAACGCACCATCCGTCAAATACCCGTATTTAACAGCATGATTTTCAATTTCGGCGTGTAGTGTCACAGAATACACAATTCCCATGCAATGCACGTGAAAGTTGGGGATCAGATAGTCTCAATGATGGGTATAAAAGGTTGATCGCTGTCTGTCGAATATTCACTATGTATTTGGAATATTGTTGACGAACGCAAAATGCCACGTCTAAGTGAAGCCAACCGTCATATCGCCATTGGTTTGCTTGAAGCTGGCCAGTCTCAACGTGCAGTTGCCCGACGCATGAATGTTCACCAAAGCACCGTGTCACGGCTCTGGGAGAGATATCGCCGGCAGAATTCGGTAGCAGATGCCCCTCGTAGTGAGCGACCTCGAGCGACCACTGCGGCGCAGGATCGCTACATCCGGGTACATCACCTGCGTCATCGAACAGCTACGGCGACCAGTACCGCTCGACAAATACCGGGATTGAGGAGGCTTTCTGCATAGACCGTCAGGAACAGGTTGAGAGAGGCTGGTTTACGTGCCAGAAGACCTTGTTTTGGCCCTGTGCTTCGACAACAACATCGTCGACATCGAGTTCAATGGTGCACCAACGTTCAGGCCTGGAACCTACCGAATTGGCGTAGAATCTGGTTCAGTGATGGAAGAATGCGGGTGTACAGACGTCGACGTGAACGTTTCGCCGACGCTTGCGTTCCCCAGGTGGACAGATTCGGCCGGGAAAGTGTTATGATGTGCGGAGCGATCACCTGCCGTAGGAGAAGTGATTTGGTGATGATCCAGGGCAACCTGACAGCTCAACGGTACTGTGACGAAATCCTACGCCCACACCTCCTTCCAATCATTGATCGCCAGAGGGAGTTGATTCAACAGGACAATTCCGGGCCCCACACAGCACGTCACACTAGAGACTTCCTCCAGAACCACAATATCAATGTGCTCCCCTGGCCCTCAAGATCACCGGACTTAAACCCGATCGAACATCTGTGGGATGCCCTGGACAGACGGGTGCGACGCCGTAACCCTCAGCCCCAGACACTTCAGCAACTCGCACAGGCACTACAGGCAGAGTGGGTTGCGATTGGGCAACACGAGATTCTGAGACCTATTCGTTCGATGCCGAGGCGATGCCGTGCAGTTCTGGATGCCCACGGTGGTCAAACGAGGTATTGACTTCAGCACCACCACACGTCTCCATGTGACACTCAAACTGACTTTCCTCGAGTTGGTGCCAAAGACGGATAAGTCTGCATTCCCAGTGTGCAATTTCCCTATATTTCATTGACTCATAAAGCCTACAAGATGTTTCAAAATATACATAACAATACAGTTGAAATTCCTATATGCGTTTCTTTTTTGGGAGAGTATATATATACTCTGCAAAAAATGAAACGAAAAGGTTGTGTTCAGATGATTGTTTATTATTATTTTTTCTGTTTAACGCTGCCAATTTCTGGAGTCTGGACCCGACAATCCAGTGATTGGCATCATGAGCATCAATCTACGCAACTGAGATACGTATAAATATCAGAAACCCCCGGCAGATATGTCTAGTTTTTTTATTTTTGAGTTTTTTTGTTTGCTGAGTATATTAATGTAAACATTTAATATACGTTGCACGCATTACTCCCATTTTGACGTTCATACGTGTTTCACGATTCTGCAATAAATAGACTACATGTACTTTCATCTTCCTTGCAGCGATCTGGTACTTTCTTTCCAGGCACCAATAAATAGAGAACTGTATGTTTCTGTAACTTGGTCAGATACTTCCATCTTGATTTCAGGGTTTTGCATACAATGGGAAAAGCCACAGTATCTGACTGCGTGCCAGTGATGGAATATCCTCTCCACTCACCAATACCAGTGAACATAACGAAGAAATGCTTGCTAATGACGGTCAACAATATTCGAATAAGATATATGACGTTACTTCCGGGTCTTGTCAAGACATCTTTCAAATCACACCACCTTTACCGATCGTATGGAAGCCGTTTTCACAGTTACTGAATAATCGCTTCAATTTTATGTTATTTTACATATATCTGTATTATATTAAGATAGTGTTTTTAAGATATCGGTAAATAATTGAAGATATCATTAATTAATTTCTGACACCCAGTGTCGAATTACTGATATACTGAGTCAAAAAAAGATTTTCACATCCTTTTTGCAGGGCACTATAAAAGAACAAGAGATGGTAAGATGGTTAAATTGTTATTATTTCATTGCTGAGATCTGTGTGATGTACTCGATACACTGACAGTGCCATAATCAGTTCCATTAGGCTACACCGCCGTTCCAAAACATGGGTATACAGAATGTCAAGTCACAAGAATAAAATGCGAAATTTCTCAGTTCAATATCGTGAATGGCCGCCCCGCGCATTCACCACTGCCAAACACCGTCTCCTCATCGACTGCCTGATGCTTGTGAACACGTGGTTGGGGATTCTGCGCCATTGCTCTTGCAAGGCAGCGCCAAGTTCCTGCAAATGCTGAGGTTGGTTCCTAAGACCACGAAGCCTTCTCCGTAGTGCATCCCAAACGTGCTCTATTGGATTAAGGTCAGGGGACCTCGATGGCCAGTCCATGGCGTTGATTCCAGCGTTTTGAAGGAAATTTCGTGTCAACATCGCGGTATGCGGCCGAGCATTATCATGCTGGAACTGTAGACCTGGGCCATGAGCCGCCATGAAAGGAACGAGTTCAGGGGTGAGCACCTGGTCGCGGTAAGCAGCAGCTGTGAGGTTTCGACGGATGACCAGAAGTCGGGAACGGTTGTTCCCACAGAAAGCACCCAACACCATGCAACTTCCGCCCCCCGAATCTGTCGACTTCCTGTACACAACATTGGCCATACCGTTCACGACGTCGTCTCCAGACTCTATGCCTGCCGTCCGCGAATCTGAGGGTAAACCTGGATTCATCGCTTAAGACGACTCGATTCCAGTCTCTCTGGGTCCATCGGAGGTGACGTTTGTCTGTGAGGACAGTCGACCTCTATACATCTCAGCCCTGGTTCGTGTACCTGGCAGAAATCTGTCACGTAGGTGACGTAGGACGATTTGACGGTCTTCTGCTCGTGACGTCACACGTGGACGACCCGACCTTGGGCGATCAGAAGTGGTGCCAGTTTGTTGTAGACGACCTCGCAAGTCATACACAGTACGACGGCTGCATCTCATTGCTCTTGCGACGTCAATAACTGATCTTCCCGCTTGCAACATGCCAACGGCACGTTCACGTTGCACATTTGACAATCGTGACATTTCAAGTATCGTTAGGACTGAGGTTTAAAAGTGTATTTTCAATTCTTGAGGCCCATGCAAACACGTGCATATGAAGAAAACTTCGATGCGAAGATCACGTGATCGACTGCACGTGCAAAACCTGATTTGGCACTAACGTCATTTGCACGACGAATGGATGGGTTTGAGTGGGTTTTGCTAACGTTTTTCTAGAGTCGAAAGATAGGGATCCCATTTCGGATACATAGATGTATCATCAGAGAAAAATTATTCATTATTTTTCAAATTACATTTTGTGAAGTTTCTTTTTTTACTCAGTATATATTCAAATTTAATGTTACTGAAATATGAAGAACATATTTCTTAATATCTATAAATGTGTTTAAGATATCAATAAAACAACACCCGTGAAGATCCGGGTTAGAACTGGTCTTCAGTAACCCATGCTTGTCGTAAGAGGCGACTACCGGGATCGGGTGGTCATGCTCGCTGACATGGTTGACACACTGCGGCGTAAAACTAAACTCACTCACTCAATAAAACAATTACCAAAAAAGGAGAGTTATCACCCTTTGGACCACTTTCACCCATTCAAGATATCAGCAACTGATCAGGAATTGAATGAAAATTACTGATATCATTAATCCGATTTAAGATATCAGCAATTCTTTTCAAGATATCATGTGTATGCTTTAATTCATTTCAATATGTCTTCAATTGTATTCAAAATATATCTAAATATTTTGGATTTAAGTACTAGTTTTACATTCATTTCTGTGATAATCTAGTTGTTTTACTTTAATTTGCAGACAGGTAAGTATAATATCCAACTTTATTTTTATTCATTTATAATTTTATCACTTTTTTAGTCACGATATGGATGAAATTCTGCCGCTGTGACTTTAAATAATAATTCACTCACTATAAGTAATTTCGAGATAAATGTGAAAACGGCTTGCCATACGATCGTCCAATCCCTATAAGAACAGCTAATCGCTAGAAGTAGAACTGAGAACGTTGTGTTAGATCAGATAATGTCGGCAATTTCAGCGTCTTACAGTTGGCATACATCTAGCTATGTTACGATGCACTGTCGCTGTGACCGGTGACTGATGCTGATACTACAACGGAGAGCGTGTGTATGTCGACTTCGAGCTGAATATAATTTGAAATCGAACACACAAGATACAAAAGTGGCCTACTCAAACTCTGTCCGACAAAAATACATTTTGGACCAGATATTCTGCAAATATTCATACTCCAATAAAATCACACAGACTGAAACTCAGTTCCTAATCAAATGTCGATAAAGATTAACCCTTTTAATAACTGCGGGGTTTATTAAATGTCTTAAAGTTACATTTGAAATCTAAAGACGCATACATGAAATATCAAAATAAATTATTTTAATCTAAGACGTACATCTGAAAAAGAATAATGTTTACTTTAAAAATGTTGGCTATATTTGGCGTGGTTTCCGATTCAGGTCGTAATCCCAGCGGTAGTTCTCTATTACAGTTTGTTTTCATTCACTGTCCTCCAGTTAAAACCTAACCACACAGTAAACACGAACATACATGTAAGATGAGTTGTTGTTTTTAATTATGAACCTGACACTCAGTAATATTCAACTTTCAGTAATCTGGTTCAGACAAATAGATGATCCACGCCAATCAAGATCTCCCGATCCGTTGTTTTGGCTCATAGACCAGACGAGACCAGGTTTCTGGACATTAATGTGGGGATGAGTTTAAAAGTGATGGTCAGTCCAAAGATATGACGTCAGTGGCGACAACATATTTGGGTTCAACCTATAAAACGCATAAAGTTGAATTTGACCAAGTAGTCACAATTATTTGTTTACAAGGCATAAGGGGGAGGTGAGATAGCGTAGTGGTTAAGGCGTTCGCTCGCCACGCCGAAGACCCGGGTTCCCCACAAGGGGGCAATGTGTTAAGCTCATTTCTGGTGTCCCCCGCCGTAATATTGCTAGAATATTGCTAAAAGCGACGTAAAACTAAACTCACTCACTATAAGGTATAAGGAAGATACCAATGAACGTTAGGTTTGAGGGATATATTATGACTCTGTTTATATGTTTTCACTACTGCAACGCTCAAATATACACACGCGGAGAACCGTAGTACTAGATATAGCCCAGTCACATCAACTCGTACCAAACAATCCTCATACGGTTGAATTGTCTTTACATAGAAGTAATCTTACCTCACACACCTACTTACTTTCATATCTACAGCGCAGAACCTTTGTCTCTCTTCGGACTTATCTCTGGACACACTAAACCAATAAGCCATTGCATAAACAGTGAGTTCGCTCCCTTTCCAGATTATGAGAATCGAAACGCGTCCAATTTCAAGTATTCTCGAAATCATTTAAGTGGTACCAGTCTTCATAATCAACAAGCAAAGACCACTGAATGGCAATGACAACTCTCGTACAGACCAAAATTAAAACTATTTACCTTTCTAGTTAACACCATTTTTAAACGATTACCGTCTTAACTGGGCAACCGGTGCCAGAGATATACGCAACGGTCGTGCATATAGTTATATATACCTCAACATATCCCTCCGTGACAGTTGAGTTCTCTGTGGTGGACAGACCGGTCAGCTGGACTTGATTCTTGGGACCAAGTTAGTTTCCAATCCTTGCTGAAGGAGATGACTGCAACACAAATCGTCCTTGCAGGGATCTGCCTGTGTGCAGTTGCTATTCACGTCACAGATGCCGCGACGTAAGTTTTAATATTCTTGTTTAACGCCACACTTGGTAATATCCCAGCCTTATTACGACGGTCTGTGAATGATCGAGTCAGTCCAGTGATCAACGGCATGGGCATCAATAGGGTGCGAGGACATGTGTCAACCAGGTCAGCGAGCCTGACCACAAGATCCCGTTAGTCGCATCTTACTTACTTGACTGGACTTAGTTCCTTTTCGGTTTTTATTTAAATATTTAAATATGCCACGTCTTGGAAACGGCCGGTTTTTCCAATAGTGGTTACAACATTCGCAATTTAAATGGAATGCCTTGCTCACCAAAGGAGATCCCTTTGGCAGATGTCGTTCAGAATCACCAGTGTAAACATTGGCTACTGTTAACTGTTAACTTAAAACTTATGCTAATGTATCGTTGGGCATGCGTAAGGGTTTCAGACGCTGACAGCAGACACATCAGGAACAGGGAATGAGGTTCACATTTAGTCAATGATGGATTGGACATTTCAACAAGAAGTAGACATCCCAAAGGGATCCTGTTTTTGTTTCCTCCATCGGAATTTCTTCTGTGAAATGAAAACAAGGGAACATTTGACTCATATGTAAACATAACCTTCGGGTTTATCGATGATGTGATGTTAACTATTGGTCAATGAGATATTGTCAGATTTATCCAACTGGGCTGGAAATAAAACAGATAATTAAAACTGAGTATCGATAAACAACCGACAACATCCTTCCCATAATCATGAGAAAGCGTATCCACTGATCGATTCCTATAGCATCATGCGTATGTGAGCGTTTATACACTGAATGCATACTTATTGTAATCGAAGGGCATTTATATTCAGCTGTATTTGTACCTTTGTATTCCAGCTGCAGCTACAGGTATTCGCGGGCCACGAGCTACACAGCTGGATGCGGCTGGAACGGATGGCAAAGATGCACAAGTTACAGGTGAGTATCCCGCTACATTTCGGCGTTAACATTATACATGTAGATACAATGACAATATTTTTGTGTATTCACTCATCGCCAGATAGAAAAATAATTCCAATGGTCCATTTGTGATAGTTATTTGAAATGTCTATTGCCTGTGGTTTGTTTGTATTTTCTATGGGAATCGTTTTTTTTCGTAAATATAGCATTATTGGTAATTGAATAGATTGTACCTGCATTTGTATTATTTTAAACAGTTGCTTATAACAAGTCACATTTTGTCCTTAAAGTCAAAGCACTGATTTGTGAGAAAGCTGGCCACAGTAATACGACTGGGCTACTAGAACTGAATAGTAATTAAGTGCATATGTATCGTTATTATTTATTGATGACGCCATATTTGGTCTCCGAAACCCAGAAAAGATAGCAGAAAACATAATAGACGATAGTTTGTAAATTCGACTGGATATTCCGGAAGGCGTATGAGTACTGACAAATGCACAAATGTACATCTCAAAATGTCCTTTCGAAGTCAGCACCTTTCTGATTCTGCAAGGAATTGTCTGATATAAGCTCTGGATACAAATCCAAGTTATAAAACCCCAAACATTATGAACTCCAGCTGCCAAAACCTGAAATTAGTTCAGTCTGCTCACAATTCTCTAATGGCAGTTTCAGTTGCGAAACAATGCCAATTACACTGGAGTCCGGATTCTGAAGTGGCCATGCCATATTGTCAAACTTTTTTTAGTTCGTGATTGCAGCGTTTCGATACAGATTCTTGTACTGTTGTCAAGAAGGAATATAACATGGAATGGTGGGGATGTATATATACTGAATGTAACAACGAAAACAACATCAAATCGAATGGAATGAAGTATCCTTTATCTTGGTTGATGGTGGGCTTTTGGCGTTTGATATGAATGGCTTCGGTGAGATTGCGTTTGGTGATGCCCGTTTGTTTGTTCGCAAGAATGGTGATGTCAGACCAGTTTATTTGGTGATTGGGGTTAAATATGATGTGATGAGAGATGGTTGATTTTCTGTCGGAATTGGTACCGGAAGACTGATGTTCTTTCACTCGGGTGTTCATGGGCCGGGATGTTTCCCCTATGTAGCTCTATCCACACTCACAGTTTATTTTATAAATGACACATTTGGAGTTGTTGGTGTTGTTGTTGACGGTTGGTGATTTTCTTCCGATAGCATAGAGAAGGTTGTTGAGGACACGGCGAAGGTGCTGATTTGATGTGATGGTTTACCAATGCAAGGAATTGATATCTTGATGAGGGATGAATCCGGTTTAGGTGTTTTGGAGGAAAGTTGCAGCATTGATCCACACCACGTGCACAGAGCACCCTATATATACTTCATCACTACTTATATGACTGTTCCAATAATTCCAGTATATACATACTGAATATTAGTATATGTTAATAGTGATAAGTTAGTGTATCTGTCGATGTTTTAGATGGTGTTCTTGTTTCTTTCAGAGTATCGTATTTCACAGCTACATGTAGTAAGTATTGGCAATAATAACAAAACTATTAGAGTTATACTGTGAATGTTAATTAACGCAACAGACTGCAAGAGTGGAGTCCAACGAGGACTAGGTACACAAGTGATTGAAAGCATCAGGAATGACACACGGTGTAAGGATACATAGGTCACACAGTGTATACACCCATCCTCCTTGTCCGTGTTCTTATTTGTTTGTTGTTTAACGCCGCACTCAGCAATATTCCAGCTATATGGCAACGGTATCTAAATAATAGAGTCTGGACCAGACAATCCAGTGATCAACAGCATGAGCATCGATCTGCGCAATTGGGATACGATGACGTGTCAACCACGTCAGCGAGCCTGGCAACCCGATCTCGTTAGTTGCCCTTACGACAAGCATGAGTTGCTGAAGACCAACTCTAACCTGGGGCCCGTTCTTAACACATTTACGTATGGACATCTTATACGTTTCCTGTTCCGCACGATAAACTATTTGTCAAGGCATATACCGTGTCATTTCTATTGATTCCGTATTTGTAGTAACTCGTGTGTTAATTACAGATCATGGCGGATGGTCTGATTACTCAACCTGGAAAAATGTCTGGGGTTGTACTAAAACTTGTGGGGGAGGAACCCAGTCTCAGCGAAGAACTCGCACCTGCACCAACCCTGCTCCAACCGCTGTTTATGGTAACGACTGCACTGGTTCGGCAACCGAAACACGAAGTATACCGTGCAACACGAATGCTTGTCCAGGTAAGGTTGATTGTGTGATTTTTGTTTTCCTTTATGTGTTTGGAATTTGGTCAGGTGTTTTACTCCATTTCAGAGTTGAAGTTTGTACACAGACATTTAAGTTTAGTTTGAAACCTGTTATGTTCATCAGTATTTATATTGCTTGAAGCGTCAGTGCAAAAGCGTACCCAGTCTTGCCTTTTCAGGCAAGTTTCAATTGCTACCAACCGATAGCACCAACAATTAACAAGAAGAGCATATCTTTATAAACAGTTATAATTTTTACAAATGCTTTTGCATTAATCAAAATGTACAATATCAACGTCAGTTAGTATCCACAATTCATTCGTAACTACTCGTTTCTTTCCGTGACCTACAAGAAGACTCGTACCTGTATAGTACGCCAAGCAAATCGCGGGTAGTAAAATGTGAAATGAGTAAAATAGTTTTCTTGCAATTATCGATTTTCGTTATTATTTCCGTGATTATAAAATTATCTTGTTACTTATATTTGTTAACGACATAAGAAACTTACTTAAAGTGACTTTCGTGTTATAAATTTCTAGGAGTCGACATGTTGGGAAATTCAGAGTTATCTTTCCTTGGAAATAGTGCTGGACTATTTTCATCTCCGTGCCTGTTTGCGCTTAGAAAAAAACCCAGTCGTGAACATAGTCACGAGAGGGGTACGAGTCGCCATCCGGCTTGCCGGAATGACACGAGTAGTTACGAATGTCCACAATTACCTGCCGAAACACATTCCATTGGTCACAAAGGCATGTAACGCAAAACACAGGCATGAAGACACATACTGTCACTGACGGTGTCATAGCTCAATATACTACTTTATATAATGCTAAGACCCCGTCAGTGACAGTATATACTTTGATATCTCGGGGTTTTTTGTGTTACAAGCCCCTGTGATTTCGGTACTTTAAGGTTGAAAAACGTCTATGAGAGTTTCAGGATTGGTATGAAGACATAAACGAAATAATACCCTTAATATGTCAGTGGGTTTTCTGCAATACGTTTGTGGGTTGGTGAAACTTATATTTATCTGCGTCATGTCAGTTTTGTTTGTTTGCATGTTTGTTTAACGCCGCAACATCCAGTGATTGAAACCATGAGTGAGTGAGTGAGTTAAAATTTTACATCGCATCGGCAACATAACAGCCATATAGCGATGAAAACAAGGTAATCAATTTAAAATAGCTGTCGACAAAGGACAGTAAAACCAACTAGACTATCACAGATATATATTTAAAACTAGTAATGAAATCTAAAATACTTTAACTATAGAGGACGATACAATATAAAACCAGGCTATTGATAGCCAACAACTGAAGGTAGACTGAAACCATGAGCATTGATCTACGCAAATGAGATGCGTATCATACCAGTGCTCGTGGTGTCAAAGTGTGGTGGGGTAGCTAAGTGGTTAAAGCTTTTCGTTACGCCCAAGATACGGGTTCGATTCCCACATGGGTACAATATGTGAAGCCTATTTCTGGTGTCCCCCGCCGTAATATGGCTGGAATATTGCTAAAAGCGGCGTCAAAGCATATTCACTCATTCGTGGTTTCAAATCTAAGATGTAAACATGTGAGACCTGCTTCACATTAAACTGACATTCAGTGATAGAACTTGAACACTGTATCACAATACTATGGAATCCTAAAAGGGACATTGTCGCGTTGTCGCCCTCACCAAAACATGCAAAAAATCTCATCATTAGCCAAAGTGCGACAATGTTCCTTCTAGGATTCCATACAATACAGAAAATGAATGCTGATCAGGTATTAACTGTCCTTTACAGTGGTCGGTGGCTGGAGTGACTGGTCCAGTTGGGATAACCAGGGATCATGCTCCAGCACATGCGGTACTGATGGAACGATAACCCAGAGGAGTACTCGCACCTGCACCAACCCCAGTCCAGCTAACGGGGGAGCTCGGTGTAGTGGAAACACATACAAGCTGCGTTCTGCTACCTGCAACAGAACCCCTTGTCCGAGTAAGTATACACCTATCTAACTTGACCACGGTCCACAAAGCGATACACTGGTCACTACATCCTTCCTTTTGAACCCACAATCAGAATTCACGTATTATGAGCACTCTGCTCAGCTAATACCCCATTAAATTAACCCCTTAAGTATCAAGTAAATAGTTCTATCTGAATATATTATATATGTAGCGCATATGGTATATATAATATATACCAGATGTGTTAAAAGAATAGGGGGGGTCTTCTTTTGAAATAACAATGCGAAGTATCTCCATGGTAACAGTTGATGGCGGCTGGACGGATTTCTCTAGTTGGGACAACGTTGGGACGTGTTCTGTATCTTGTGGCGGAGGAGTTCAGACCCAGAGGAAGACTCGCTCGTGTACCGACCCCACACCTCAATATAATGGCGCTGCCTGCAGTGGAAGCACGAGCCAGACACGAACCATAGCTTGCAATTCACAGTCCTGCCCAGGTATGTCAACATATAAATAAAACCCGTTACCTCCAACACCGTATTTAAATATAGTTTCTGTATCATTTGAGACAGAAATATCGTCAGTACCATGTCCTATATACTGTTATATAGCAGTGAAATGCAATCAATTTGTAAAATAGGACTACGCTGAAGTTCATGACAATATGTTTTACCAATAGTTAGTTGTCAGGAATATGTTGTTATCTGATGTAAGCATTCTTGTGGATGTTGCTATATTTAGACATCTAGGGAGTCAAGTTTGGTCTGGAATCTTCCAGAACAACACAGACTAGTCAAGCATAATATGGAAAATTGTGCAATATTGTTGAAGGTCTTCATCTCACTTTACATAAAAAAACAGCGGATTTGTGAAGGTCATTGTTTTCAATCAAGATTTCCAGCAAATGTCTATTTGTTAAAATTTAACTGCCATTTATCTTGGAAATATTGTATTAATCGGTATCTGAAACTAGACATTCAATATCATAAGCATTCACACGACATGATAACATGTAGTCTATCAACACGGCGATACAGCCCTGTATCGGGCCTACAATACATCACATGGATATACAACCTCTGTATCGTGATACACAAGATACCTTACACTACCGTGTATATTGGTGTTAAAGAACGAATAAACTTTTGTTATTTGTACTCTTTTAACCCATTACATATGAAAGACGTGTGGTTAGTCTTAAGCGGAAAACCAAATTCATTCTTAAAAAATCGTGTAGTTAATAATTACCCAGCGATTAAGGTTGCCAAAAAGTCGTCTGCTTCACTCTCGCCCGCCAACGAAACCACAGAGAGGTTACGTAACTCTGTCGCCAGAACACTGCAGCGAACCGGAAGTTACGTTACATGAGGAAGGATTTTCTGTTAGTTGTATATAAAATGTGTAACAATTTAACACATTTTACTACCAGTAGAAAGTAACTCGGTGAAAACAAACCTAAATAGCATTTATTCTCAGACTGGCGGATGTTCGCGACCGGGCGCTGAAGTCTGTTCGAGAATCAGTGAGATTATGGTTTGTTTCGTCAAGTTAGAAAATCAAAACTACTTTCTACTCGTAGTTAAATATGTATTTGAATCATGACCAAAATGATCTTGCATGACACAACTTGTGACATATCGATTTCTTCCACGGAAGCGAGGTGGGGGTCGAAGTGACAATATTAATTTCTTGCTACATTCATGTGATTAACGTCCACTCACTAGTATGTAGATACTAGTTATCTTCTTTCCCGTACACGTGATGACACTGATGAGCGAGGCTGATCATCGTTTTCACTATCACTAGCGTCTGGCTCAAACAAATTAGGCCTAGCGACAACAAGCGATTTTGACAGAATCGTCTATGAAAACAAGTTGTAACTCGGAAGCTAGGCAAAGCAGGTGTCAAGCTTAAATGAAAGTAGATTGTGAAAACATAAAGCTTTCACTTTTCACAACAATTGTCACGAATTCAGGTTTAGACAAATCTGTAAACAAGATAATTTACCCCCGGAAATGTACATGAATTCTAAAGGGCCCCTCGTATGTATACCTCACATTACGTCACGGAGACGCACCCCTCTGATTGGCTGAAATTTCGTTCGCGGGAGAGAATTGTGCACTGTTGTCAAAAGGTCGATTTAAGTTAATTAAAGGTCGAAATGAGTAGTTTTAATGACGGGGTTTCATTTATAACAATGCCAATAAATGATTTATGTATTTGTATCCCCAAGAGTATATGTGATCATACGAAGTGTAGAAAACAGAAAGTGTTCAACAACCTGCTTTCGCAGATTCTCAGGTGTGTCCGGTATTAAAAAAACATGCCATTTTTAATTTCTGAAATGAAACACATTTTTTAAAGATTTGTGATATACCTGCAAAATGACAGAATAGCAACTTAGAGTATCGGGATACGAAGAACGACGCCACATAGCTGGAATATTGCTGAGTGCGGAGTAAAACTAAACTCACACTTATATTGTTGATCACTGGATTGTCTGGTCCAGATTCGATTCGAGTGCGACTTTAAACAACACCGAACGAACAAACGCTGTTTATTGACAATTAGTGTGATATATCCGTCTCTAGTTGATGGTGGCTGGTCAGACTTTTCCGACTGGGTTGACGAGGGCGTCTGCAGTGCCGAATGTGGGGGAGGAGATCAGCGCCAGACACGCGAGCGTACGTGCACCGATCCCGCCCCGGCCTACGGAGGAGCAGAGTGCAGCGGTGACAACACACAGACACAGACCATCGACTGCAACACCCACAACTGCCCAGGTACGTTCCTGCGACGTCATGTCTCCGTACATCTGAAGCCCATTTCTCGTGATTATTTTTTAATGTTGCGGCGTAAAACAATACCCACTCACTGCTTGTAACTGGGAAGTCGCATTATGTTAAAGATGGCAGTGTAACAATATTATCGGGTTCAGTATCATTATACCTGACTCCACCACCGATCACAGTTACATATTTTCGCTGCTGCGTTGTTTGTTGATGGACCCGTGAAGATTCGGGTTAGAACTGATCTTCAGTAACCCATGTTTGTCGTAAGAGGCGACTAACGGGATCTGGTTGTCAGATCCATGCGCATGCTGTTGATCACTGGATTGTCTGGTCCAGACTTGATTATTTACAGACCGCCGTCATATAGCTGGAATATTGCTGAGTGCGGCGTAAAACTAAACTCACTCGCTGACTGTTTATTGACGTGCTACAATTATATGGATATATACGTTTCTAGTTGACGGTGGCTGGTCCGATTTTACCGACTGGGTTGACGAGGGGTCTGCAGTGCCGAATGTGGGGGAGGAGAACAGCGCCAGACACGCGAGCGCACGTGCAGCAACCCCGCCCCGGCGTACGGAGGAGCAGAGTGCAGCGGTGACAGCACACAGACACAGACCATCGACTGCAACACCCACAACTGCCCAGGTACGTTCCCGCGACGTCATAACCCTAACACAGCGACGACATGGAGTTATTCCTCACTGGCATCTGCGTGAAAAGAAAAGTGATTTCGTACTGGGTTTCTAATTGTCGAGTGGATATTGTTTTTCACTACATTCACCAATACTGTATCTATAGTCTATCCTGTTTATTAACCAAGAGCACAGTAGGTTGTTGAATTGCCAACAATCACGAACGAAAACTCGAAATATACTCTTAAAAAAAGTAGGGGAACCTGAACTTTCAATCTGGATAGGAAGTATAAGCGTTAACAAAGTTTTCAAAGACAGACATCTTATGAACACACCACCATTACTCTTTATCACCACCCCTAAACACAACGCATGGGTTGCACGTGCACAACGCAGAAGCCCCATACACGCGCATGGGGTGCCATTCTTGATTTTGACGGTTTTCAAGAAGTTCGATAAATCACTGTAGACCATTAAGTTTGACAATCATCTTGCATCACACAGTTGTTAGTGTTTGTTTCTAGCCGTTGTTTTGGTTTGAAAATGAAAATAGAACACATGCAAATTTCACGTCATACACCGATCATCGTTCCAGAGCGATTACTGTTCAAACAACTATGGTCATAAGGAAGTGCAAGCGGTGATGCACAGAGTCAGAGGTACAGATAAGCTGCGTATCTGCGTAAATAAAGCAATTTGATCTTACATGCGAACACACACAAAAATGTCAAATCTTAGCTCGGTGGTTACTGAGGATAGATAAAATAACTCAAAGATATTGAGAGGTTCTATTTCAGCACATGAACGTGGCAACTCTCAGTCTTTCTTATGGTTTCTCAAATTACAGATAAAATATAAATAACAAACACGTAAACCAACATTTAAACTTAATTATATTTTGACAGTTAATGGAAACTTGCAAATACCCAAATGAGTTTGAGTCAGTCAGGTGGGTACAATTTATTTGGTTACTTAAAGGAAAATTAGGATACCCAATTGAGATGAACACAAGCGAGTACATAATTCAATGACTCAAAAAGTTATCTGTTGCTCTGGATGCACTCTTCAAATATTCATTATTATCATATCAACATTGAATGACTTCGATATATCTCCTAATTTGTTTCAGTTCCCCTTCTTTTTTGGGAAGAGTATACGTTAAACTGATATATCGTTGAAGACCAGGTGTCATGACCTTTATTTTATCGTTAGAATATCAACCATCTTAAAAACGTCTACATTGTTTCTAACGACTTTGGAGCTCTGGAATCAGTACAAATATTGGAGACATTACGGATACCTCTTGTATCAAATACCAGACAAAAATAGTTTCTGGCCATAACGCCTGGCCAATATAATAATCTGAACTGCATTTGGCACCTGGAAACAAGGGCTAGGAGCGAGTAAGTTTGGTTTATTGTGACAAGTATACCAGTTATACTTGGGTGTGTATGTATATGCTTCTTGTATTTGTGGTACAGTCCATGGTGGATGGTCCGACTGGACGGAGTTTGCCGACGAGGGAGAGTGTTCTGTATCTTGTGCGGGTGGTGACCAACAGCAGAGGCGGGACAGGGAGTGTAACAGCCCCACCCCAGAACATGGGGGTCGGGACTGTGAGGGAGACAGCGCCGAAACCAAATCGGTACCCTGCAATACACACGAGTGCCCAGGTAAGGACATATTAGTGAGTAGAGAGTAAGTGAGTTAAAATGTTACACCGCATTGCCAGTATTGCAGCCATATCGCTGAGAAATCAGGTTAATTATGATTAGATTATTGTCGATGAAGGACAGTAGAAGCACAAGGACATTATATTGAATCCAGAATGATGAAAGACGCCATCGTTTTGCACTCGTATTTATGCGTTAGATAATTGAACGTTTAGTTACGTTTGTCAAATACGATTATATGCAAAAAATATTATTATTTGTATATTAATTGCCTCAAAATATTTATATGTTCATATAAGTTGACAAGCATTGAACTGAAATGACACTTAAACATGAGACTCCGACTGGCCACAACCGGATAAAGCATGACCCCTTGATCGTCATGAGTAGTCTCTCTTTCCGACATTGACAGTCACACAGTCATGTACATTCTCACCTGGCCTCCCTGAGACAGTACAATCAGGTGTCATCGTTGAATTATGAAGTGCTTGTGTTTAATATTATTGTGTAAGGTCAACTGTTTCAGTTCATGGCGGTTGGTCAGAGTGGTCTGACTGGACTTACGAAGATGAGTGCCCTGTGACATGTGGCGGAAGTCCGGTGATGGAGTCGAGGTCAAGGTCATGTGATGCACCAGCACCTGCTCACGGGGGTGACGACTGCGAGGGTTCTTCGACTGAAAACAGACCAGGCCAATGCAACAACAACCCATGCCCAGGTCAGATTGATCAACATATTGTCGCACATGTATGTTACCACACAACCTGGACACATTTACAATCCTTACTAAGTTTGGAAAGAAAGACGCACTTTTAAAGTTGACAAAATGTTTATTCCACAATCATAAGAAACGTCAACTAAAGGCAGTAACACGTCACAATTTAATTCTGGACTCACAAAAGTCCAGAAACTCTCCGCACTGTGGGCACTTTCTGACAAGGGGATTTGACCAAATTAAACATGCAGTTGTTATGAACATATGCCAAGGATGAAAAAATGAAAAATTTTTTTTCGAAAACTTTAAATTTAAACTCGCTCGCCCATGGGCCGGCCCATGGGCGAGAATGTTTAATTTCGATCAGAATTCATGTTTTGGAGGTTGTAAATGAATGAGTGTATGTTTATAAGCATCATGTCACAAATTTCAACTCATATTGACTTAAATCGATTAAATTAGAGCGATATTAAAAAATCTCGCCCATGGGCGAAAAATATGTTGGCCCATGGGCGAGAATGTAGCATTTCGATCAGAATTCATGTTTTGGAGGTTATAAATGAATGAATGTATGTTTATAAGCATCATGACACAAATTTCAACTCATTTTGACTTAATTCGACTAACTTAGAGCGATATTACAAAATCTCGCCCATGGGCGAAAAATATCTTGGCCCATGGGCGAGAATATTTCCTTTACTCAAAATACATGTTTTTCCATGAGTGCTTTTAGCAATATTCCAGCAATATCACGGAGAGGGACACCAGAAATGGGCACACAACGTTTGAGTAGGAGTCTTATGACATAGACTGAAATACACCATGGTAGAAGGTTTTTATATATTTCAAATTGTTTGGTTGTTGTTTAACGCCACAAACAGCAATATTCAATTTACATGGCGGCGTCCTGTAAATAATCGAGTCTGGACAAGACTATCCAGTGAGCAACAGCATGAGCATCGATCTTCGCAGTTGGGATACGATGACATGCGTCAACCATGTCAGCGGGCCTGACCACCCGATCCTGTTAGTCGCCTCTTACGAAAGCAGGGGTTGCTGAAAGCCAATTCTAATTCTAATCTTCACGGGTATATTTCAAATGGATCAATGTCCGTGTGGTGTTTTGAAGTATCTGTATAATAGTTCTAACACTGAGTAAATGGTTCGATAGTGTTTCACTGAATGCGCTATATGGGCCACTTAGTTCATGTGTAACTTGGACGCATCGGATTGAATTCTGTAGGTATTTACTCTCTACAAAATTATCAGCATTTTAAAATTTTGGAATGCATAGATCAACGAATGCGTTCATTCATCGGTGATGAGCGAAGATGGCCAAGTTTGTTATATTACTGTACTCTGTGATAGTCACATTTGGAGTATTGCAGCCATATAGGGATTAAAACAAGTTCTACATTCATGACACATACACACAGAATGTAGAAAGTCCAATAAGTAAAAACAACTAGAATATCACAGATATAGTGAGTGAATTTACGCCGCTTGTCAATATTCCAGCAATATTGTGGTGTCTCACCAGGCATTGGCGTAACATATTGTACCCATGTTGGGAATCAATCCCGGGTCTTCGGCGTGACGAACTAACGCTTTAAGCACTAGGCTACCCTAACACCCCATACCGAGTTATAGGTGTACAACTAGCATGTAAATCTAACACTTTAGATAATACAATACATACCAGGCTATAGATCGCCAGCTGAAGGCAGATCACCATACTAAGGACGTGTATACTTGCAGTGAATGGGGGATGGAGCGACTGGTCGGAATGGTCACAGGACGGCGAATGCTCGGTTTCCTGCGGCGGTGGCACCGTCAATGAGCGTCAAAACCGACGATGTGACAACCCTGCACCTGCTCATGGCGGGGCGGAATGTGACGGCGATGACGTGAACACAAGAGACGCCGAGTGCAACGCCCATGAGTGCCCAGGTAGGACTATTTGCGCATCATTCCCCATGTAGACCTCGGTAAGACTGGAATAAACTTAGAATAAACTTTTGCGTGATGTGAGTAATATAGCAATTTTTCTTGTGCTCACAATAGTTCAGTAACGTCCAATAAGGCTGTCACCATTTGGGTAGGATCTGTACCTGTTACTAGTTGTCCGGCACTCATGTCACGGTACCACCCGGTACCACAACACACACGCATGCTTCAATAGCGTATCCAACGGAGTAACATACAGCCATTTTATGACAAAACAAACTCTTACATTAAATATAGTTAGATCCTGTCGACAAAGGACAGCAAAAGATTAGACTATCACAGATATGGATTTATAAAATGTTTGTTTGGAAATAATCGAGTCTGGACCAGACACTCCTGTGATCAACAGCATGAACATCGATCTATGCAACTGGAATACTTTGACAAGTCAACCAAGTCAGCGAGCCTAACCCCAAACCCGTTAGTCGCCTCTTAACACAAGCATGTCTTGCTGAAGACTAGTTCTGACCCGGATCTTCATGGGGTTTTATATCAAGGATGTTGCCAAAAAATGACTATTTAAAGTATAAAAGTGGGATAGACCTCACCAACTGCCATCATATTGCTTACAATAATGACTTTCAGGATGCTGGTCATTGTTAAAAGTATTTCACCATGGAATATGAAAAGTACTTTGGATCAAATGGAACATGCGCACATGTAAGTTAATATTATAACGTAAATGTACTTTTATCTATTGTATATTAATAGTTTATCCTTAATCTACTAGTTGACGGTGGGTGGTCCGACTGGTCCGACTGGAGACTTGATGGTCAGTATACAGTGGCTGGAAACATGGGCACAGCAAACATGATCCACGATCGAACTTGCACCAACCCTGCCCCAGCCTTCAACGGGAAGGAGTGTGAGGGCCCGAGCAAGGAGTTTACCCAGGCCTCCTGTCCTGTGACGCAGTGCCAGGGTGAGTGAGCGAGTGTTGTTTTATGCCGCCAATATTCAGCTGCATTACAGTGACGTTTAAGTAGCAACGGCGAGACACGTGTCTGAGGTTCTTCACACGTCACAACTTCAGAGCACAAGCTTTGTACACATTTGAAAGGTGGGAAACTACTCTGACACCAGACATCGAACAGAAGCGACAGGGATAGGTTCAATATCACTATTTTGAGTGAGTACGTGCTTAATTTTGCACCAGCAATCTAACAGCTACTTGCGGAGACTGCCTATTTTGGAAGTTTTATCATTGCTCAAATATACTGTATATAAAGATGTTTGATGCTACTGACTCTTCCAAATCGTGCTATCATACGTACAAATTACATGAGAACATATCCACATCGAAATGTTTTGTAATTATATATATTAAAATATCATTTGAACCTGAAATTGTTTTGAACGACAAACTAATCTATGTCGAAACGTCGCATTTACAGAATAAAGAAGTTGCACATCCATAAACATTGTCCTCATCCTCCATCTCCTCAACTTCTAGAATGCCAATCAAAGAAAAGTAGGATTTTGATGGAAACAAATAACTCCATTTCCATTGAAAAGGGCGTTCCATTGAACTGGGGGAGTCAGAGCCCTTTGAGAATCTATACTGCATCATTTAGGACGGAAAGGGTTGGAAATGAAATGATGTGGTGGGACAATGGGACAAGCTTTCAAACAAGCTGCCCCACAACGAAGCATATGTGATACATGTGGTCCCACCTTAGGCAAGTGAGTTAGGCAAAATTGCCTCTGTTCACCCAGCAGAAAATGGGCACCCGGTGAAATAAGTCGTGAGACTATTAACCTTCGCCTAAGAGGCAGCTTGGGTTATCCGGGGTAATAATGATCAGATTGTGCGCTTTGAGCAGGACATCTAGCCTGGAAAAGGCGCGTTATAAATATTTTGATTATTATTATTAATACAGCTATGACTAACAACCACATTTCAACACAGGCATCTGTGACGACTCCTCCGCCACCTACGCCTACCCTGGAGAGTACACAGCCTACTACGGTTGTAACAAAGCAGGACAGATGGCCAAGAAGACGTGCCCGTCCAGGGAACACTACAACTCTGACGATAGCCGCTGTGTCCGGACCTGTAACCCGACTGGGGTCTCGAGGAAGATCCACCCAGGGCGCAAATGCAACAAGTTTATTTTCTGTGTATTTGGCAACCCCTGGGAGATGCCATGCTTTGGTCAGGACGCTAATTGCCCCACTGACTGTGTTCAGTAATTTTTCAATTATACCAAAATCATAATCTCGTGGTAGTAAATACAGTACTGTAGTACAGAAATTTCATCATCTGATGTATTGGACTTGTCTAATCACTTCCTTTCTATTATAAAGGGGCGATGGGGTAGCCTAGTGGTTAAAGCGTTCGCTCGTCACGCTGAAAACCCGGGTTCGATACCCCACATGGAAACCCTGTGTAAAGCCCATTTCTGGTGTCTCCCGCCATGATATTGCTGGAATATTGCTAAACGCGGCGTGAAACTAACTCATTTACTAACTCCTATCTGTTATTTGCAATTGAGTTAATTTGAAAGTATAACATGCTGACGTATTTTAGAGCCAACTGATGCAGTATAGCTGATCATTATCAACAAGCCATTATTCTATAAAATGAGTGTCAATCAGTCCAGATCGGAATTAGTGTATTCATCCTGATTTTGTTCTTAATGTTTTTGAAAGCCACGGGTATATCTCCAGTCCTATTGTTCATTAATATGTGATTCAAGAAAACCGGAATAAGTGTTTTCACTGTTTGTTTTCTAGTTTGATTATTAAATTTTCTTCACAACCTAACGCCCTATTGTTGTTTTGATGTTGCGAGAAACGGGACATAGGTGAGTGTGTTGTGACATTAACTTTGGCTTCATCAGTTTTCCGATTACACCAGCACTGATGAAATACTGCGATGTGACAACGGGATCTTTCACGCTTCACACCACAGCTAGCGCTGTTCCTCCAGCCGGTTGTCACCCCTCTGTGTGAAGCGTGAAAATAGGACAATATTACATGATAGTTACTCAACAACTTTTTCTATGATCGATCATAAAACGTCAAATTTCAGATCCTTTTGGGTACAGTGAGTTAAGATTTTAAGTCACATCGGCAATATGTCAGCCATATGGTGACTAAAAACATGTTTTGAATTCACCATAAATACATGTAAATTATAAAAACCTGTCGACGAAGGACGGTAATATCAACTAGAATATCACAGTATCAAAAAATAAAACTAGCATCACTCTCTAAAACTGGATTTCAAATAAGGACAATACATTATAAAAAGAGGCTATAGGTCGCAAACAACTGAAGGTAGATCACCATAACAGTTTTGGGTACAGAGCTTTCAGGACCATGTGTCTTATTCTTGTTTTGTGCACAATTTCTACCAGATTCACCTCGCAACACCTGCTTGTAACACTGTTTAACAGCAATTCACGAGCACATGCTGATGATAGTCAGAATAGGGACTTTTATATGAATATGGAACGGGTTTTGATGCGTTTATTAAAACACATCTGAGTGAATTAAAAATAATAGTCACATAGGCAGTATTTTTAGGCAATATTTAAACGAAGGCAAGAATAAGAAAACTCTTAGATCCCGAGTAACGTAGACCATCTCTACAACTAACAAATGCTCATTCCGGTGAACCTTCCAGAACTCCAAACCTTGCAAATATACGCTGGTTGACAAAACGTAACTTGACACTCACTTCGACATGTCCAGTGTTTTTCATATCAGTCAGGTGATTTCAAAAAGAATCTTTGTTCTGATAGTCTTTGGCACTTCGTACTATCGTTCAGTTTCTGGAACATTCTGCCGTAATGGTTACATTCAGTGATCGACAGATGGATCAATTTTCCCCTCTTGTCATGACAGACTCCTTTGCTAAGAGCTGAAGTATGGTATTTCAGTTGTGAAGGTTATTACATGCATAAAGATGTCAATAATTGGAGTTAGCATGTTGAGCTACGTTAATCAATGATGTTTACAAAACATCTAGAGCCACTTAATCGATTCTTGCAACTGTCAATCAAAGAGGCCCTTTGATCTGCATCTGAAACAGTTCCAATGTTCCACTCAAATGGGGAGTTGGGTCAGAATTCTTGGGTTGTTTCTTGTTCTAATAGTTTAAAATGGTGACTTTAAATGGTTTATCTTTGTCCCAAAGCAGAATTTTATTTAAACGTTTCTTTTGGACATCTAAATCACTGTTGTTGGTTTATTTCGACATGGACGAAAATAGGACAATTTAATTCTTCTGAAAAGGGTGCATTTCACCTAAATATGAGAATTTGTTTCCGTGATTTGCATAAAGCTGTGTTGTTAAGCTTTCTTATAAACTAATACATATGTATCTTCTAACATATCTATGATAGTTTTTCAGTAATTCATAATGGTAGGAGGGTAACGTTTCTTTTGGCGTGTAGTGTATTTCAGCCATATCGTGACTAAATCAAGTTGTATATTAATAACAATCAAAGGCGAATTATAAAAACCTGTCAGCGAAGGACAGTAAAACAACTAGATTATCACAGATAGAAATTTAAAACTAGTAATTAAATCCAAAACATTTTAACTATACATGACAATACAATATAAAAAACAGGCAGCAGACTAAGATTGCCAACAACTAAAGGTAAATCACCATACCGGTGACCCCGGAATAAGAGAGGTGGAATCTGATTGGTGAGTCGGATGAACGTTGAAGGGCAACTCGCAATTGCAACCCATGATAATACGAGCGTGCCACGAAATTGCAGTCGCCTTTTCCCTGAAGTATTTTATGTTACGTTGTTACAAAACTGTTTTCTTCTTTCCCCTTCTTGATAATAATAATATGGACTTTGTTTGATGCTACTCCCCATTGATTGACCACTGTGTTAGCGGGCATGTCACGTTATGTGAACAAATTAAACAATCACCTGATTCATGTGATGTGACAATTAGTTTTCTTACGTCTTGAATTCATTCATTGATTTACGTAATTCGTTTTTTAACAAACTATTGAAGATAAGACATGTTTCCGTTTCTGGATTTATACAGTTTGTGTACCGTTTATTCGATTATTACCTCCATGACCCGAAACATAAAACCACAACCAATACTTCACTGGATTCATCCGGTGAGGATATCGTATCACATGCTCTGTACGCCCTACATCTACACAACACAATAGGTGAGTTGAAATGGGGTTTAACGTCGCACTTAAGAATATTTCGCTCATATGACGACGTGCATACCATGCCGCAGTGAAGCATGAATACCCCACTCAGACACATTATACTGACTCCGACCTTGTTGTACCCAATAATGCCGAGCGCCAAGCAGGGACAAACAAGTACCATATTTTAACGTCTCTTTGGTATGACGCGGTCCGTCGATCGAACCCGCGACCTTCCGCTCTCCGGGCGGCAGTTATTTGAATTAAATACCTAAAACCTTAGACGCTTGAAAAGAATAATGATTAGCCCTGTAGTCAGTCGATTTCTTCAGGACATCCCCCATCCCTCTCGAGTTTGCATTGATCATATCTCTGCTAAAAGCAGAGTCGATCTGTACAATTGTGACTATATCATGAGAATTTATTTGTTTATCAGTAAGTAGTATTACAGCTGTACGATGTTGTTTGTAAACAAATCGAATCTGGACCAGACAATCCAGTGATTGTCATAAAATAGAATGATGATACCCAGGAGTTCGCCAAATGGTGAGCGGATCCTGTCCCACCGGTGGCACCCTTCTAGTCAATTGTTCACCTGAAATAATTCGGGAACGTACGGTGGCCATATGTAACAAGTCAAAATAGGGAATTGCATCGGACATCATTTTTGTCACTGATGCATCAAAGTTGGAAATTTCCTCCACATATCTACCAGAAAACTTTTTGAAAGGTTCACTGAGGCCTTGAATGTTGTAACCTTGATCAAACAACTTCTAAGCAAGAGTGGTATGACGCTCTTTTAAGTCCTGATACACAGTGCACGCTCGGTTGTACGTGTACCTCAAAAGTGAAAGGCTGGAGCTGTTGGGATGTTGCTTGACATGAATGAGAAGTTGACTATTGGAAAGTTGAAATCATCCCTTTTGTCATACAGCCTATTGAGGAGTTTTTTGTCACTCTGAATCTTTATGCATAAATCTAAACATGAAACAGTTGAAGCGGTCTCACTTGTCACCTTAATTTCAAGTTCAGGTGGGTAAATCAGTCTAAGGCAATTGGCGATTTGATGGTTATTGAACGATATTAGACCGGAAGCTTAAGTTAAACTTCTTGGCCAAATTACCTTGTTTTGATTTTGCCATCCCAAGCAAACGTTCTCATTCATATGCATTAAGTGAGTGAGTTTAGTTCTACGCCCCTTTTAGCAGTATTCCAGCAATATCACGGCGAGGGACACCAGAAATGCGCTTCACACATTGTACCCATGTGGGAAATCGAACCCGTGATGAGAGGGTGGTTTGATCACCTTCCCACTTTGCATTAGAGAATTCAACAAATCAAGTGTCTCCAGGCATTTTCCTTACGGTTTTTAATGTGTGGTAAAATGTTATGAGACAAGAGTAAAAAATAAGACGAAAGAACTTTGTATAGTTCATGGTCCATATGTGGCTTATCTTTCCTGCAGAATTTCATACATGTTTGTTTTATTTAGAAAATTTAAATTCCCGTTTTCAAGTGACCATTTGTGAATTTTACTGACACAACTGCCTTTCTATCGTATGCATATTTTAACACAAGAATGGGCCTAATCGTCCACAAAAAGTGGTGATCCATCTACAGAATCACGTAAAACCTCTGAAAGACCATGTATTTCAATACCAAATACAATGACAGACAAATACTGCCTACTCGACTGGAACACTGGTCCGCATTGTAATAATCAGTCAGTGTTGGCCCACATTAAATTGCCAGTCTGCAGTGTATGAAATAAGCCAAAAACCATTAGGGCTGGTAACTTCAAAATGTTACCAGCCCAAAATGGATTTAACCAGACCAAACAATCCTGAGAAAATAACTCAAGTTTTAGTTACAATGAATAATTTAATGAACCTGTGACATGTATTTACTGTCTTACAATCTATTCACAACAGTCATTTACTCAGATGTATGGAACATGTTATCTAATTTTTTTACCAGACCATCCGGCTGGCTAGCTGTAAATTTAGTCAGTCCGTCAGAAATCTAGACCGTCCCGGGCGGTCGGACGGGCCTTATTTCATACACTGCAGTCTCTTTAAAAACTTTGATATAAATTGAGACAAACCTCAAACCAAACCCATGTAAATTCCTTGAAATGCTACGCTTTAAGGTGGCATCGTAGCTTTCGAATATCAGAAAGGGGGCTAAACAGTTAGACGTACATCAAGATTCGTAAACAGAGCTCTGAACCGTCGTGCTAAAACTTGTCCATAAAACTTGTCATGTATTCATTTTCCATCTTCCAAATGCCTTTCAGGAACTTCAATAAAGGGAAGACACTGGATGATGATTTTAGATACTGTGATGATTGTGTGCTCACATATTTATATCCTGTTACAGGTTCTTATAGGTCTTCTTTTTGTCATATTAATTTTGGCTAATTTTGACTGCAATCACCAGCTGCTGAAGAGTTAATATAGCTAGGTTCCATGCAGGTAGCAAAGGTACTGTAAGTCCCCATGGTCCCTAATATGGTGATCTATAGCCCGTTTTTTCATATTGTACTGTTGTCTCTCGTGATATATTTTTATGATAGCGTACTAGTTTTAAATTCAGAGCTTTGATAATCTAGTATTTTTAGTGTCCTTCGATGACAGGTTTTTACTTCAATTTTTATTTTCTTTCAATATTGATATAAATTATATTGATCTTGTCACGATATGGCTGCAATATTTCAGATGTAAAGCTAAATATTAACTCACTCATTCTTATACGTCTCTTGACTTGTCAGTTGACCCATACCTGCTGAATGAATCTGAATATCGAATGCGGGCGGAGCTCTATGGAAGTACTCTTCCAAATATTCTAAAACCTCATTCGTAACTACTCGTGTCATTCCGGAACGCCGGATAGCGTCTCGTACCCCACTCGTGGCCATGTTTACGACTAGGACCTGTCTAAGCGCAAATGGGCACGGATATGAAAATAGTCTAGTACTAGTACCAAGGCAAGATAACTCTGAACGTCCAAACATGGCTACTCCAAGAATATCCTATAGCTATATCCCATTGGACAAAACAACTATACAGTCATTCCCTTTGTAAGTATGTTTCAGTGTTGAAAGTTGCTGATCCTTTAGCTCAAAGTTTATGTTTAAATTGTGCTTTGCATAGTTAGCGAAGTTTCAAAATTCAACGGTGCCGCCAATGCTTCGAAATGCGTTTTACTACGCGCGATTTGATTGGCCCATTCTTGGCATAATGGCGTACGATAGGGTACACTGTCTAAAACGAGTGACCCTATCATCTAGATGGAATGATATGAAAGCTAACTAATGTGTACGAACAAACTTAAACGTCAGTTCGCTGCAATTCCCAACATTGAAAACATTGGTTAAACAATGACTGTAAAAATTCAAATTCGGATGCCGAAACAATACTTAAAAACTGGATGCCGACCTATACTCCAATCCACTTACGATATGAATAAATACAATTCTAAACACAGGCGTAGCAATATTCCTCATCGAATTATGTACCTACATTTCCCCAAATAGCCAAGCAGCAAGAAAAAAGGAAACTATTAATTTTAAATCGGATAAATGGGAAGATTACAACTATTTCCTTTCCTATTTATGAGCTCCATACGTCCCATCAGCAAGCATACTGCTATAGGGGCTGATAACATACTTTGTCAACTCCTAAAACACTTACTAGAACCATGTTTAGAAACACGTTTGCTTTTTGTGTGTAAAGTATCTTTCTTCTTGGCGTAATTATGTAATCGTCCCAATTTCTGAACGTGGACATGATCACACTAATCCTTCAAATTACCTAAAACATTGAAAAGCTGCTTTAGCAACATCATGGAAGAGTGATCGATAATGCATTAGTTTGGTACCTTAGAGACCGGCAATCTACAATATGGCTGTCATAAAAACACATACCTTAGATCATTTAAGAATGATAAAATATATAAGTAAAATGTTGTGTGTGCCTTCTTCGATCTTCAAAATGAATATGACACTACGTGCAAACATGGTATTTTAAGATCTATAACTCTGGATGGAGTCATACCCAAGTTTCAGATCCACCTCTGCTCAACCTTGTCTGATCATTATTACCATCAGGGTGTCCGACAAGGCATGCCGAGTTTTGACACATTTAGCATCACGATTAACAGTTCATCAAAAGTATAAAATCATTCTATTGAAGGATGGATTTTAGTGCACGGTTTAAATATTTCAAAAAGCACGTATACCTGTGAAAGGCAACTTCAGGTGTGTGTAAGTATTGCAACACCTAGTATTTTAACCCCATAAATGCCATGGGTATATCATATCATTACTATCCCGCGCCACGACGGGGAGAGGGGTGGCGGCGGTATGTTACAATTTGTTACAGAGTTATGGCCCTTGTCATGCGTTTCATGACTAAGTGTCCGGTATCACCAATGGGGACAGATTATCTCAAAAACCGTTATAGATAGGGAAACTATATCTAATATGTGTTTTCAGGACAGAATTATGGCACTTGTCATGCGTTTCTTGATTTAGTGTACGGTATCGCCAATCGGGAGAGATTTTCTCAAAACCCGTTGTGTTACAAGTTGTTACAGAGTTATGGCCCTTGTCATGCGTTGCTTGACTTTGTGCACCGTATCCCCAGTGGGGACAGATTTTTTAAAACCGTTAGGGACCGTTCATAATTTATGGCTACGGGGGGTGGTGATGATGATTTTCATGGAGAAGCATGTACAATGTGAATGACACCCCCCTACAATTTATGTACAAAATCAATGACCCCCTCCTTCCCATAATATTTAAGCATAATTTTTAATATTTCTGTGTACAAAATTGCTGACCCCCAGTACATGTGTACAAAATTGATGACCCCCTGCCTCCCCAGAACAAAATGGGTGACCCCCCTTAAAATCATCATCAAACCCCCCACCCATAAATTATGAACGGTCCCTTATAGATATGGAAACCAAATGTTCTTCAATTTGTCATTTCTGACCTGACATCATGCTATACGGATTGCGTAGGTGACATTTCTGGAAACTTAAAGTTTTAGATAATATGAAGATTGATCCCCCGGAACCAAGTGGTTTGGAATTTTAGGGTAATTTCCTGAGCTACCTCACAGAAAGACAATGCTAAAACCAGAGGATTTCAAGCTTGCAGCACCAAGGATAATCAGATGATATACTCCAGCAGAAATAGAACTAATTGCGTATATTGTTCCACCTGATTGGCCCATGAGAAACCGTGTTGTCTTCACAATTGCGCTGGTAAAGCTGGACAGTCGTTATTTGACATTTGAGACAACATCCCTGGCCTGTTTTCAATGTTCTGGCTGCTTAAATGCAATGGGGCACAATACACAAATGATGGTTTCACAACCCGTCTTTTAGGGCGTGTCCCTCTGTTTCTTCTTACCAGACTTTGGTTTATTCCAAGAATGTGCCCTAATATTGATCAGACAAATGACCAAATATGTTTTACATATATTCGTATGAGTGAGTGATTGAGTTAATGTTTATCGTCACATCGGCAATAGTTCAGCAATATCGTGACGAGAACAATTAATTATCAGTAAAGATCAATAATATTAGAAGCTATAAAACTGTTTACGATGAACAGATATCTACTAGTGTATCACAGATAGAGATATAAAACTAGCATGTAACTAAAACCTATACTATAATGCAAGACAATACAATATAAAAACGGACTATAGATCACCAGCAACTGAAGGTAGATCATCATACTAGAGGCCATGGGGACTTATAGTACTTTGGCTATCTGCAATATTCGTATGAAAGTAACTGTTGTCTATTAGTTATATCTTGAGGATGCTTATACTTCATGACTCAACAACGTTTTGTTGTGTTCTCCCAAAGCAGGTGTCTATCTGCTTTTCAAAGGCTGTAGCTAGTGCAATTAGATCTGCGTGTTATTTGCTCGAGCGGGTAAAAACCTGCCTCACAAAGCCCAACCCAGGTTGATATACTCTCACAATCTATCCCCTCCGTCATAAGACTTAAGTATTGTAGTAAACAAAATCTACATTCACATTTATTTCTGATTTACTAGAACATTGTAATTTGTTCTTGATGTCATCCTACTTCCCTTAAGATTGATCCACGCCAACAAATCAACAATAAATGCAGTCGTGTCTCGATTTCGCATCATTAACAGAACAATCAGCCAATACATGTAAGCGTCGCTGAAATCACCACTTGAAAAGCGATGTTTCTAAACCTATATTGAATAGAGTCTTAAACATTTACTTGTATGTATAGATGTACCTTTATTGCAATGGCAGCTCATTGAAGACGAACCCATGGCAACAGATCAACATTTGATGCACCAAACAGGCAGCCAACGTATAAGCGTATCTGTTTTGTCACCACACTTCGTGAAGCTACCAGCTGTAACGGAAGCAATGATTCTGAAACTAATTCTGCTTTGTTTAGTGACCTATGCTACTGCTTTGATAGAGACAGGACTTGGAATGAAATGGACAGAATTTGACAATGTCATCATGTCAACAAACGTCTTGTATGAAGTTTCAAATCCTCGCAGTCGTATTTGGTGTGTCGCTCGGTGTCTCAAGGACCATGCCTGTATTTCTGTGTTTTACAGACCGCAACACCGACGGTGCCAGTTCCATGACGTGCTGTTTATGTCGCCGAAGGACGGAGAACAAGACACAGGCACCACATATTATAGCGTAACAACAGGTAAGTCTGACGTTATAAAGACCACACTAGAATATTTCTATTTGATTTTTTTGTTTGTAATTTGTTTCTGTGACTTATCGTAACTGTTTATTCGAAATCGTTTTTGTTCATCACACATTGAGAGTATCAAGGACATTCCCCGAGATACACCACTCAACATCTTATAACACTTCTGGATGACGACCGAAACTGCGAGGATACATAGTTAGAGTCGCATGGCATGGACATTTATTAAGAATTGCTCACTCCAGCCTTGCTGCCAATGATTTCCAAATTGCAGGATTTAAGCTGGTACAGGTATGGAAAACTACTGCTGACAACTGACGGTTATGTTAATGTTCGCTACGGAGAAACTCAAATGACATTTCAGTTGTCGATTGTTTGTTATCAGAATCAACTATCAGAGAAAAATATTCAAATGTTCTCCTCAGTTGCAAAGTTTTGCTGTTGTTTTTGTTTTGTTTTGTTTTTTTAAATGTTTTGATTAATAAAGATGTGTTTGTGTTTCAACTTCATTTTGACAGAATTTGCATAAACAGTTACTGCTTTTTGTCGAGGGGATTTTGAATAGGAAACAGTTTGTTGTTAAAGTCTGAACTGAAACACCTCAATTTAGTATCAACAGTTCGTAATTGTACGAACATTTTTGTCATTTTAACTCGTTGAGGACACCATATTACTCTCATTTGCACATAAATGTTAGACGAATCTCAGATCCATTGAGGACATACTAATGAAACTTAGTTCATTTCTTAACAAACATTATGGTTAATAATCACTTTCTAAAAATCATACAACTTGGTTCCTAAATAGTATCACCCCCAAAGTGGAATACCCAAGCCCCATCCATCCACACTCTTTTGATAGTATGGTGACAGAACATATATGTTTGCGCCATACATTGAAGGAATGATGCAAATCCAGCTTGGGTCCATGCAGTTAGCAAAAACACTGTAAGTCCCCGTGGTCTCTTGAATGGTGCTCTCCCTTCAGTTGATGGTAAGCTGTAGCCTGTTTTTTAATAAAACTCCACACGCCGAAGACCCGGGTTCGAATCCCCACATGGGTACAATGTGTGAAGCCCATTTCTGGTTTCCCCCGCCGTGATGTTGCTGGAATATTGCTAAAAGCGGCATAAATCCAAACTCAGTCAGTCAGTCAGTAATAAAACTACATATTATCTTTTGGGGTTTTTTTTGTATGGTTACACACTACTTGTACGTGTAAATCCGTGATAGTCTGGTGATTTTACTGATCTCTGTTAACAGAAAAAGCATATGGTGTAAGCTTGTTTTCATTCATGTGTTGCTTTCATACACACAGTATGGCTGAAATACTGCCGATTTGATTATGATTTAAATGGCTTGCCACTGCCTGTGTATGTGATGAGTATCACCAGTGGAAAGGAGTTTTCATGTGTAGCTGTTATCGTTTGTTCTCAGAAGCTTGTCCTTCTGACTACGTCCACAACCGCCTCCTGAACCTCTGCTACCAGCTGCATCTCAACAAAATCAACCGCGACGACGGTCTTGCCGACTGTACGACAAGAGGAGAACATTTGGTTGTTATTGACAGTGAGGACAAACAGATCCACCTGCTGAAGCAGATCTCCTCCTCATCGGGTTTGTACAGATGTCATCATATTTACCCATCAATTACAGAGTTCACGTTTTAGTTCTTATTCACTGACAATGCAAAATCCGACCAGTCCTTGCTCTACCGGGTTAGAATTGGTCTTCAGCAACACATGCTTGTCGTAAGAAGCGGCTAACGGGATCGGGTGGTCAGGCTCACTGACTTGGTTAACATATGTCATTGTATCCCAATTGTGTAGATCGATGCTCATGTTGTTGATCATTGGATTGCCTGTCCAGATTTGATTATTTACAGACCGCCGCCATATAGCTGGTATATTGCTGAGTGCGGCGTTAAACAACAAACAAACAAACAACAAACCTTACTTCATTCTGTTTATGCCGCGCGCCATGCAGGGTAACACGTATCGTATTTCAAAGGTTTTTTTAATTTTAACACGGTGTGACCTTGGATGGAATCACTTACCTTCCGCTCACCACTTTATTCACAATAAGGCGGATGAAGTCTATGAAAAGTAGTTTGAATATATTCAGTGTGACAAGTTTCTCTTTTAATATATTTCGTCCACACTACACTCTTAAGAAAAAAACAAGATACGCACACGCGTTTTCAGCAGTTTCGATACATATTTCGATATGTTTTGACATCAATCGTCATTAAGACAATTCTTTTGTTTGAATCCTATTAATCCTGTGTATTGTGCGCAAATACATCCTAAAATGTGTTTGTAAACGTTTGTCATAAAAAGTGAAAACGTTACATGAAAAGAGCATGCAGAAAAAGGGTTTTCCACGTAATCCACGTGCAATATGTCGGAAACATGAGTAGAGACATTGACTGTAAAAGGCCAAACCAAATCCATCATTTCATTACGTGTAAATTAAGATAAAAACTGCCACGATTTAATGCTACTGACCAAAATATCGCCACTGGACGCAGGGGAATACCAGTCTGCCGTTGGTAGACACTTCCACAGTACCATATCCCGAAAATGGCATCGATGTACCCGCTTCCATTCGTTCCAAGATCGTCCCAGAAGTCGAAGACCACTCCTGTTCAGGACCGATTTATCCGGGTGTTTCACCTATGTCACCGATTAACTAACGACGTCGACACGAACGTTTAGCGCCGAACTGCGTTTGACAGGTGGACGGATTTGATGGAAAAAGCGTCATGGTGGGGGGAGCCATGTCCGACACGAGTAAATCAGAGCTAATGGTGGTTCACGGCAATCTTACAGCAAATCGCTACATAGACAAAATCCTGCAAGCTCACCTCCTCCCACTTTTTAAAGCCCAGAGGGATTTGTTTCAACACGACAACGCTCGTAGGACAAACAAATAACCAAACCTGCCATGAACTCTTACAGTCTTACTCATTGCCGACGCAGTAATCATATAATGTACGGTTATGGCAACTACTCTTAAAATTATTTCATTAATGATTTCTTCTCACTGTCGTATGAATAACACATTTTTTTAAACTTTCAGAAAATTTGAAACATAACTACTTCATCGATGGTTCGGACGCGGCAAACGAAGGACAGTGGCTACTTCACGATGGTCGACCTATGACCTACTTCGCCTGGCGTCCAGGATTCCCGGCCAATCTCCACTGGTCATGATTACATCATTGAAAGCAAACTAATTGAAATGACCAGTATCTATGTGTGGCAAGACAGGGCAAGCAAAGACACAAAGTATTACATCTGTCAAAAAGACCTTTGAAATCCATGAACACAAGTGTGTGATTACTGACACTGACCCAGAAGTTCTCATTATCAGTGACAAAAATGATGTCCAATGAAATTCCCTATTTTGACCAACATTCACGAATTATTCACTAGACTTTACATATAAGTATGAGGGGTGTCACCGGTGGTGAAGGATACACGCACCTTTTCACGAACATCTGGTGTCATGACACGTGCTTTGTCATCCTATTGCATGGTGACAATCATTGGATTGTCTGGTTCATACTAGATAGATTTGTTTACAAACAACATCGTACAGCTGTAATACGCCTGATACATACATACATACATACATACATACATACATACATACATACATACATACATACATACATACATACATACATACATACATACATACATACATACATACATACATACATACATACATACATACATACATATGTCCAGTATGATTACATTTGCACATAGGTGCTTGCATAATTTTCTAATGATTCATATTAAAACTACATTTGTACCAAGTTAATGGACTAGATATCCAGATGATTGATTCAATGACTGAGGTATTATGAGATGCAGCCAAACAAGTCTCCAAGACTGACATCCCGATTCATAAAGTCATTTCTTACTTAGGCCAGGAGCATCAGACACAAACAATAGGTAACATTGGAAAAAAATAGTAGAAAGCTGAATTTTTCAGGAAAGCTTCAGAACATCATTGCCATGTACAGGATACAAAGTTCTGTAAATTCTACCTTGTGGCATTTTCAAAATGGCCGCCAATTTCAAGATGGCCGCCAAAATCATTAAAATGATTATGCTAACAGATATTTTGTAAATAATTATGCCATGTGATATATCAAATGAAAGCTCATCTCACAGGGATTCCAAATATATTGATATCATGCCTTGTGTCATTTTCAAAATGGCCGCCAATTTCAAAATGGCCACCATTGTCCTTAAAATAATAAAAATAATCTCACGAAAATATTTTTTTTAATTAACCATACCTTGTGATATATTAAAAGAAAGCCCTTCTCACAAGGAATCTAAACATATTACTTTTAACACCGCATATACATAAGACAATTTATTATGGCATGATAACCACACATTTTATTCTTGTGCTTTTGGTACTAGACGTCAAATATATATCCACTTACATTAACCGCAAGTATGAAAGCAGAGAATTGGTTGATATCCTGAGAAGCATTTCCTTTGCTGATGAACATAGATAGGTTCAACGCTTGTATTATGCACTTCTTTCAGGAGACAAATTTTTGGATATTGAGGATGAGCTTGTCAATTTCATATTTGACAATCCTGATATCAATGTTAGCACTACCATTGGCGTTGGTACGTGGCATGTTTTAGGTGGAATTGCATGTGTGAAGCCAGTCAGGAAAGAGCCCATTCAGATATCTATACCTCGGTCCAATCAAACCATGACATCAACTGACGTAGCAGCTGAGGGCACAAAGATCCCTGTCAAGGTATACCACAAACCTTCTACATCGGGCCTACAGTCTGTCAAGATTGGACCAATTGAACTACCCAAACCAACTGTGCCAGTTCTTTGCTTGACAAAACCTTTGGACAATCTATGGCTAGCAAGTTTTTCACTTGATATTCCACTCTCACAACGTCCATCGTGGAGCAGATTTATGCAGTCAACTGTAACTGGAGACAACAACGAAAGAAGCAAAGTTCAGATTTTGCCATTTGTCAACAAGGACCCATGAAGGCCCGACACCATCTACTCTGCTCTAGCGTTTGTACAGTTGTTGGCAAAAAAACAACATCTTGGGATTTGTCCAATAACATTTGACCAGCCCCTCTACATCAAAGCAGCAGAAATTGTGGAATCAGCACATCCACAGCTCAACAGGGTTGTCCTTTACATGAATACATGTCATATATGGGTTCTGTTATATAAGTGATGGATGGTAGCGGCTTGGAAGATCTCTGGGCAACTGTTTATGCACCTAATTCTGTAATCCACATGCAGACAGGCCATGCTCATGCCCGTCCACTTCGAAGTCATCTGCTGTCATCTGCGGCTATCATGTTCATCCTACTGCAATCAACAGATGTTCTTGATTCTTTGAATGTGGAAAAGCTTCGTACCGTACATGGCAGTTTGTTAGGTGGCGAATGCGATATTGGCTCCCTTGACTCTCAAAACCAGGACAATATCCTACGGCTAGCTGAAACCGTTGATGATTTGAAGACTAACATCAATGTCTCATCAAAAAGCAGGACAGGTAGACTTTGGATAGATTATTAGGAACAAGTGTCATTGATTCAGCAGTTCATTCGCGCAGAGCGCACAGGAGACTGGAATCTACATCTGCGTCTGTCAGCAAGATGATTCCCTTATTCCATGTTGCTGGAAGAAATGAAAAGCCTGAAGGACATTATGTCAACAGATCAGTTCAAGGCCTACACAGAACAAGGGCACTTCACCATCCGTAGAACTGCCAAATTCTGAAGTGGCAACTTCACTGACCAAGTGATCGAGCAAGATCTGATGCGACTGCTGAAGATATGTGGTGGCATGGCTCGTGGTCGTGGTATAACTGACAGCATATCTCGCCAAATGGGTCCATGCAATGCCTCAGTGCATACCAATATGTGATGCTTTAGAGAGGTTCACAGGAGTGCACGGCCAAACATCTGAGCAACATGTTGACCTTCATTTATGTAATATCGTGAGAAACAACAAGGACTATGGAACATTCTTCCATTGGCTGAAAAATCATTCTCCTTTCTCCTATGAAGAGCATGAGTCGCTCATCTGCATAGGAAAGCAGTTTCTATAGGAATGAAGGCAGCTTCAGCAGTGACAGGTCAGATGTTTGCTGACATAAAGTTGAAGCGCAAAGATAAGGTGATAAGTATCAGTGAGGAAAAGAATCAACTCAAAATCAGAGGAGAGCCAGTCCAAGTAAACTCTGTGATGCAATTCATGTGAGTCACCTGTGTGATAGAGGATAAGTCAGAGATGAAGTTGTACCTACTTCATGAATTTGCCAAGCAACCACCTGCCTTGACGAAAGATGATGCGAAAGAATATGAAGAATGTGCTTGCTAATCAACTGAAATCACAAGTCCAAGTCCACAATGACCATCCAAAGGGAGCGCATTATGTCATTGGCGGTGGCCACCTGCTACAAAGTTTGCCTTGGCCCACGGATGCTACATACAGCCAGATATGTGATAGCTATGTGTCATTTGTGCTTCAACATTACGGTTCAGCATCTTCAGTGGTGTGTGATGGATATGGCAGTGCGTGTGCCACAAAATCTGCTCAGCCGAACACATAATCTCAAATCATTTTTGAGCCAGACATGAAAGTAACAACTTCATCAAAACCTTTTCTGAGCAACAAGAAGAACAAAGGTCGCTTCATAACATTATTGAAGGGAAGACTTGCCAAAGAAGATTTAGCTGTGTAACAGAGCCCTGCTGATGCTGACTGCTTGACTGCTTCAACTGCAATTAACAAGGCCTGAGATAACCAATCACCTGTTGTTGTCGTCGTGGGGAACGACACGGACCTGTTGGAAATGTTGATTGCACAAGCCACAAATGACATGGATCTTTACAGAAAACCATGCTCAAAATATGACAGCATCTGATGTTTGTTCATGCAATAACAGGCTGTGATACAGCATCAGCCATCTACAATCATGGGAAAAAGAAAGCTCTTGCTCTATTCCAGGAGAGGTCCAATTGGGATTGCTTGGATGTTTTCCTTCAATGTGGTAGTTCAAATGATGGCATTGCACAAGTTGGAGAGATGTTCATGCTTAAACTCTATGGAGCTGTGGACTCAACATCACTGGACGAACAACATGTACTTTAAGTCCATTCATCAAGCCTCTGTGTCCTCTTCAGGTTTCAAACTGGAATCACTTCCCCAAACTTCAGCAGCCGCTAAATTACCGTGTGTACCATACGGTTCAGCAATGGCAAGGGAATGAGCTTTCACCAACAGAGTGGGGATGGCAATTCAAGGACGGGGTCCTTGTTCCTATTGAGTGAAGATTACAGTGAGTTTCAAAATTTACTAACTAAAAATGATGACATTGATAATTGTACAAGTGATTTACCATCAATTTGGTGACCACAGCTGTCTTGATCAACCAACCATGAGTAGCCATTTTGACGTCTGGTACCAAAAGCACAAGCATAAAATGTGTGGTTATCATGCCAAATTTAATTGTCTTATGTATGTGCGGTGTTAAAAGTAATATATTTAGACTCCTTGTGAGAAGGGCATTCTTTTAATATATTACAAGGTATGTTTAATTAAAAAGAAATATTTTCGTGAGATTATTTTTATTATTTTAAGGACAATGGCAGCCATCTTGAAATTGGTGGCCATTTTGAAAATGCCACAATGCATGATATCAATATATTTGGAATCCCTGTGAGATTAGCTTTCATTTGATATATCACATGGCATAATTATTTACAAAATATCTGTTTGCATAATCATTTTAATGATTTTGGCGGCCATCTTGAAATTGGCGGCCATTTTGAAAATGGCACAAGGTAAAATTTGCAGAACTTTGTATCTTGTACATGGCAATGATGTTCTGAAGCTTTCCTGAAAAATTCAGCTTTCTACTATTTTTTTCCAATGTCATGTCTAATGCTCCTGGCCTATACTGCTGGCATAAGTTGTTTTCTTCATATCATTAACTGATCTGAGGTTCCATTTTAGCGGTTAATGTGTTATGCTCCGGAAACGATATCCTTCCCTTTTTGAGACTATGTCCAAATTGTTACCATGGAAATCGAGAACAATAAGATTACCAAAAATATGTAAACAGCAAAAGGTTCTATTTAATAAATATGCCAAATTTTGCTGAAAAATATTGAAAGTTATGCTATGGGTTTTT